CGGATTAGAATAACTTCTCCCCCACATCCTTACCAGCATTTGTTTTCCAATTTCCGGCATTCTAACTGGAGTGAGGTGAGATCTCATTGTGGTTTTTCTTTGCATTTCCCTGACGGCTAGTGAACTTGAGCATTTTTTTTTTAAAGATTTATTTTTATTATTTTTTCATTGGAAAGGCGGATATACAGAGAGGAGAGACAGAGAGGAAGATCTTCCGTCCGTTGATTCACTCCCCAAGTGAGCGCAACGGCCGATACTGTGCCGGTCCGAAGCCAGGAGCCTCTTCCGGGTCTCCCACGCGGGTGCAGGGTCCCAAAGCTTTGGGCTGTCCTCGACTATTTTCCCGGGCCACAGGCAGGGAGCTGGATGGGAAGCGGGGCTGCCGGGATTAGAACCGGCGCCCATATGGGATCCCGGGCGTGCAAGGCGAGGACCTTAACCACTGTGCCACCGCGCTGGGCCCGAACTTGAGCATTTTTAAATGTCTATTAGCCTTTTGAATTTTATCCTTTGAGAAATGCCTGTTCGTGTCCATTGCCAATTTTTCAATTGGATTGTTTTGTTGTTGAATTTTTAAAGTTCTTTATAGATTCTGGATATTAAGTTTCTATGGGTTATGCAGTTTGAACATATTTCCTCCCGTTCTGTTGGCTGCTTCACTTTGTTGACAGTCTCCTGTGCGGTACAGAGAATTCTTGATGTAATCCTTTGTTTATTTTGCTTTGATTGCTTGTGTTTCTCGAGTCTACTCCAAGTCTTTGCCTGCACCTATGTCTTGTAGTTTTCCGTTAGTAATTTGATGTTATCAGTTTGTAGATTTAGATCCTTTATCCACTTGAGGTTGATTTCTGAGGGTTTTTTTTTTTTTATATTTCTGTACATGTAGACACGGTTTTCTCAGCCCTGTTTGTTGAAGAGACTGTCTTTTTCCCCCCCCCCCAGGATTGATTTTAGTTCACTTGTCAAAAATTAGTTGGCCATAGATACATGGGTTCATTTGTGGAATTTCTACTTCATTCCATTGATCTTCATGTCTGTTTTTGTGCCAATACCAGATGGTTTTGATTACAGCTGCCCTTAGTAGGTCTTGAAATCTGGCATGGTGATACCTCCAGCATTGTTCTTAACATAGCTTGAGTTATTCTGGGTCTCTTGTGTTTCCATTTAAATTTTAGCATCATTTTCTCCAGATCTGAAATGAGTGTAGCAGGTGTTCTGATCAGGATTGCCCTGAGTCTGCATTTTCAGTAGCTATGGACATTTTGATATTAATCCTACCAATCCACGGCATGGAAGGTTTTTCTGCTTTGGTGTATCTAATGTTTTGTGATTTTCATCATAGAGACCCTCCCATTGTCACGGATGCTGATGAGTGCTACAGCCACCACCTACCTTCACTGACTCTTAGGTGGTGTTATGCTCCGGTTGGTCTGGTCCTCCCTGAGGTTGGTGGAGGGAACAAGGCAAGCTCTTCCCCCATGGTGATTTGTGGATGCCCCGTCCTCTGCCCTGGCGCTGATCTGAACCTGAAGTCGGTGATCCGTGAGAATCTTTGTCCCACAATGTTGTCAGGACAGTGGGTTTTGCTTTTGGAGCATGAAAAGCCACCGCTGCCTCGGATTTCAAAATGGCACGGACTCCCCCTGGTCTCGGTTGCAGGTTTGGGGGATGGGGAACAAAGGGGGCCATGAAGATGGGGAACCCCTACCCAGCTCTAGCAGCATTCCCAGATCAAAGTCAGTGCTGTCCTCTAGAATCTGTACTGGAAAATGCAGCCAGCAAGTCTGGCTGTGTTAACCTACCCCCACACTGTTAGTAAGCTGCTGGGTTCACCCATCTGCACAGCAGCTCTTGTCTGTCCACCGTGTTTCCTGGCAGGATTCTCTCAAACTTTCCCCTGGAAATGCACTTCCCCCACCTCTTCCCCCTGACCAGCTTCCCTTGATCAAAATACACAAATTTGTTCCCTCATCACCTGTCTTGGAATTCCCCGAAACTCTTGTACATTCTCCCTTGGTATGGACACACTTCCTTTAATCTACCCAAGGTCCTTACGGGAGTCTTCAGGCTTTCTTTTTTAATCTCATGTTCAAATACTGCTTTCAGTAACTTTCAGGTCATTTTGTCTCAGGGTGTATTTCTTTAGGGTGCAGCTGTTGTTGCAGGCTCCATACTTAGTAGTATCAGTTAAATATTAAAGCAGATTCCAAGACAGAAATACCAACTGCACTTTCATTTCATGGAAGTTTGTGCTCCTCCCTGTAACTATCAATTCTTACCACACGTATATGTTTCTCAGATCTTAATTTGACTTAACCTGTTTCAAAGTTTTATTTTTGTAAGATTTTATATTTGAAAGGCAGAGGTCCATAGAGATGGAGCTGCAGAAACGTGTTCCATCCACTAGTTGACTGCTCAAATGGCCAAAATTGCCAGGGCTGGGCCAGGCTTAAGCTGGGAGACTGGAACTCCACCTGGGTGTCCATGTGGGTTATAGATGTCTAAGTCCATGGGCAATCTGTGTTAGCAGGGAGCTGGATGGGAAGTGGAGCCACCAGGACTTGAACTTGGGATATTGGCCTGGAGGGGGTGGTTTAACCCAGCATTGCTACAGTACCAATCTATCTCTAAAAGTTTAAGTTTGCCTTTCTGAGGTCAGTTCTAAATTGACTTTAGTTTCTGTTCATTAAGTTGTATGTCAGCATGTTCTTTTGAAAATTTCCTTATTTTTCTCATGATTAGATTTCTCAGATTTTTCACTTCATTGCCCTAGCTCTTGGGGAGACTTGGATTTATCAAAAAAATGTGAGCGCACAATGAGAGAACTCCCGATTAACAATGTGGTGAGCTTTTATGGACAATGAATTGTGCAAAGCTTTAGTAGGTCATGTGTGCCCCAAAACTGTTGAAGACTAGATTTTAAATTTGGCTCTCTACAGCCTATCAGAGTTAAATCAATAATAATAATCAATTTACAAATCAAAAACAATCAATTTACAAACTTGATCATGATTTTAATCATGAAATTAAAATCACTGGACTCTTTAAGCAGTTGAGACATCAATGACTGTTTTTTTTTTATATATATTAAATCTGACATGCTAAATATGGTACAAGGGAAGGAGTCAACTATTTCATTTGTTTACTTAATGAGACAGCGTTCCCATGCACCTGGCCAGATGTCTGCAATAGCTTGGGTTGGGCCTGGGCCAAACCAGTGATCTGGGGGCTAAATCCAGGGCTCCCACCTGGAGGGTAGGAGCCCAATTACTTGAGCCATGACGCCTGCCTCCTAGTGTCTGCATATGCCGGAAGCTGGAGACAGGAGCAAAGGGTACTTGGATGTGTGCTGCAGTCACTTTAACTGCTAGGCTAAATACTCAGAACAGCTGTTTTTAGACCGCCTGAAGCACAATCTCAAGCCTGCATAGTCGGATACACACTCACATGGAATGTTTCCTCAGTTTGAACACTGAATGACGAGATGGACTCACTGCTAATGAGCATCGGTAACACAATCTCAGTACTGGCGCGAGCACTCGTGAAGAGGCAATACACAAGAGGAACTGTGACCATCTGACATGTGAATAAGGACCAACCTCACAGATGATGGGATGAATGCAAGTTAAAATCACGCTGCATTTTGGGGCCTCTGCTTGCTATGGAAATCCTCTAAAGCTGGTTGAGGCAATTGGTGCACAGCTTCGCCTGGCACGTGGCAAGCCAATCACTGACACTCGGGTGGCATGGGGGATTGATTGTAGAGCAGTGGGAAAGAGACCTGGTGGCTGTTGGCTTCACCTTAGGCTTCCTGGGGGACTAGAGGCTGTGTGTGTAGGAGGGGGGCTTCACTGTAGCATGATCAGCCCCTGTGCAGGTCTTCGGTTGCACCCCAGTACTCACAGCTCCCTTTGCTTGGTGACATGTTCTCGTTCCCACTGTCTGGGGCCCATGGGTAAATTTGGTGTCTGAACAAGGCTTGAGGTTGGAAAAAACCCTCCAAGTCTAGTACCAGGAGGTTAGCTGGAAGAATAGCTGTAGGAGTAATAAGTAAGTTTCAAGAGCTGCAGCTGGCAGTCCTGCAGGGCTCACTGGACCTGGGCAGCAGTACCCTAGTGCAGTGAGTTTACCCTTAGGAAGGAGTAAATGCCCCAGAGGAGATGGAGGGACTGCCAACTTGCAGCATGGAGGCTAAAGGAGTATTGCTACTCAGAACATTTTTGCAGAGCTAACATGACACAAGCTGCACTGAAGGCGTTACAGTGCACACAGTTTTAAATCCTTATTTTGTTCGAAAACAGGGGTGCAGATTATCTGAGTGCTGGTTCACTCCACAGCCGGCTGCGCTGAGGCCAGAAATTCCATCTAGATCTCCGACGTGGGCGGACGGGGCCAAGCACTTAGTCCTTCTCCCCCTGGGAGAAACGTATATACAGGTAAGAAACAAATATAATTTGCATAAAAGTAAACTGTAGTCCAATATTTCCATTTGTTGACATCAAAAAAAAAGGACCATCTGGAAATCTGAGGAGCTAATCTTGTGCTCCAATTTGAAACTACTGCAATGATTATTTGGGGCAGGGGAGGGAGAGCATGATGATACTTGTTGATGTGTCAAGCACTTAAACATGTTACTTCCTCATTGTGAGCCTGGTGTAGAGGTGAGGCAACTGGAGTGACAGTATCTTGATCAAGCTCAGCATAGTGGTTGGCCTAGAGTACAGGCTCAATAGACGGCTTCGGTGTAGCTGAGTAACACGCTGGCAAACGGAAGAGCCAGGACCTGAACCCAAGTATAGCGGGTTACAGAACCCACGGGATTTCCGTCAATGTGTTGCTTTCTGCGTGAGACTCCTCACACAGAAGTGTTTCTCTGTGATGGAGAAGGATCACAGCCCATGTCAACATGGCACACACATCCAGAAACGCAGGGTTTCTGCTGTTTCAAAGCTAGTTGCTTAAAGAATCATGCTTGGAAAAGGATGAGAAAAACACAGAGGCTATCCAAGGTCTTTTTTAATCACCTAGCATACCACAGTACATGGGCAGGCAGAGCATGAATCCATGTGAAAACATTCTAGGCATATGTAACATTTTATTAAATACAGCTGATCCCCTTTTTGGTGAATTCTATGGAGAACTTCAAAATGTTATAAAAATATCATTCAAAATTGTAAATTTTGATGTTAGCTTTTGTATCTTTTCCTTTTTTTGTTCCACATTTATACCAAAATAAATTATTTGAAAGTGCCAAAATAAAATGGCATACTGGCATATTTAGCTGTTTAGCATCCTGTGGCAAAGTTTTTACAAGTCCAAAAGTTGAAAAATAATTTTGTTGCTTTCCTTATACAATCACTTACTTAAAGTAAGTGAATTATTCAATGGAAGTGAGTCCTCTTCCTATCTCAAGTATAGTGGGCCAAGAATATAAGGGAGTAATAAGAATTTTAAGGTGATTAAAGTAGATACACAGTAAAATGCAACAGAGATGGCATATTAAATATTTCCCCAGCAGAGAAGAGTAGCAAATTGTACCTTTGCATTTGGCAACACCTGCAAAATTACTGGCCCTTTTTCAAAGCATTATTGTTGGACAGGCTTCATTGGGGTGGAGCATGACCTTCCACATTAAAAAAAAATCAAAAACAAGGATTCAAGGAATGTATTAATATACAGTTGAAGAACTTGGGATGCGTTGCCATGGAGATGGAGATGCATCTGCTTCCTTCAAGACCTGGGATCTGAGAATCTCAGTGACTAGAGCTAAGTGGGTTTCCCTTCCAGCCGCCCCTGGGTGCCCAAGCAGACTGCACCCCTCGTGCGGGAGTACTCTTACTGCACTCAGCTGAGATGCGAAACATGACAAACTGTTTCACACTTGGATGTGAACTGACCAGTTGTGAAAGAGAGCCAGTCAGAAAACCCAAAGGCCCTGGAAAGGCACAGGCTGACAGTGTCCTCACCAAGGTGAAGAGGCTGTGACCAGCATCGGGATGTCATGGACACTTCACAGCCCAAGTTCTCCATTCTAAGAGATTTAAGAAGTTTGAATAGGAAACACCCTAGAAAAAAAATCTGAAGCAATTAGCCTAGCTGTATAAAAATGGCCTTACATATCTTTGATTTCTTAAGTTTCACTTTTCTTTCCCCCTTGTGAATAGTTTTCTTGAAAATGCTAAGGTGAAATTTGTTAAGTCAATATGAAATCAGTTACTCATCAGAAGGTTAGGGGTGACATTCAATGGAAAACAAAGGAATTTGCTTTTGGTAATGGGACCACCTTTATATATTTCTTCTTTCCAAGCACCCCTTATAAAAGGTGTGATTGTTACTAGTAAAAATAAGCCAAAAAGTGAGATCTCTCTCCCGCCCACCTACCCTCCTCCCTGCCCCAGGTGCTGCCGTGCACTGCAGTGTAGTGGGGGTAGCTGGGTCTCAGTTAACCTTCAGAACTCTGTACATGGTGTTCTGGAACACTGTGGTGAAGTAGGGCCTTGGGTCCTTGAGCAAGATGCTGCACAAAGGTGGGTTTGCTGCGTTGGAAGGGTCTTCCACGTCCCAGATTTCAAGCATGCTGCAGCCAGGCCTGAAAAAACACAGCAGATCCACACTTAACCCATATTCCTCTACGGAGGAAACACAGAAGTTATGGAGTCTTTCCCAGGTTTTCAAATACTGGCAAGTTAATGACTTTACAGCAACATTTCAAAAATATCAACTAGTCATTTAGGTGTAATGAATATAAAATAGGTCATCCTGGAGTGCCTTAGCCAAGTAACACGTTATGCCCTCATAACAAGTTTGTGTATTGGAATAGTTCCCAAGTGCAACCAACATGCAAACATAAAGCCTGTTTGCAATGGGACAAACTGATGACTTTCTCAGTTTTGAGCATGAATTGTCTTGGATTAGCATGCAAACGTTCAGTACATGGCAGCCCAAGGAGGTGGCTATGTGTGGACTCAGGACATTGGAGCTCACTGGAGAGTGACCCTGCGTGGAAATCTTGAAGGGGGTAAGGAACCAGGAAAAAATTATTTCTAATTTTTAAATACCTATACTGGAGTATAATTTATACACAATAAAATTCCCATTTTATGGGTCCAGTTTAGGGGCAGGGCAACTATATAGGTGTGTAAGCACCGTCACAGGCATCAGCATTTCCACCTGCTAATGCGCCCCCTTGGGCCCATCCTCTTCAGAACAGCCCCAGGCAAGAACTGACCACATTTCTGCACTATAATTTTGCCTTTTCTAGAATTTCACATAAATGCATTCTGTAGTTTTTGCATTTCTGGCCTCTCTACCTTGGTGTGTTTTGATAGGAACTGAAACACTTAAATGGAGATAGCACAACTGTTTATCCATTTGCAAGGCGACACACATTTGGGACACTCTGAAGTTTTGGTGATTCAATCCTTTGGTCAACAGTCATGAAGGAAGCTCTGGGTGGACAAACGATCCACTTCTCTTACGGAAGCAGCCGGGAGTGGCATTGCTTGGTTGTATGCCAAGTGTCACTTCACAAACAATTTCAGGACTGTTTGTCAAAATGCAGGCCCCATTTGCTGTCTCTGTCAGCAAAGCCTGAGAGTTTATTTTGCTCTGGATCCTCCCAGACAGCTGGAATTATCTGTCTGTAATTTTATTTCTTCTGTAGTTAGATGATTCGACATACCTTCTTTGGTAAAATGTTTAAATATTTTGCCAAATTTTATAGTGTTTCCTACTAAGGTACGATGGGCCTTCCTAAGTTCTAGATAGACGTCCTTATCAGTTTCAGCACATGAAGGCATAGTCAGTGATAATAAACTACACATTTTGAATGCACATTTTGGGTATATTTTAACGTCTCTACACTTCTGAAATCATAATTCACAAGAAAAAAATAATGAATATATTATCTTGCCCAGTGTCTAATCTTTTTCATGATCTCCCAGTCTGGTTCCAGCCCCACTGCTTCCCAGGCATCCCCATACCTGCTGTCATCAAAGCTATCTGTCTTTTGGAATTACTGTGTTCTGACTGGTGGCTTTTTCTCAGCATAAATACATTGAAACTTCTCCGTACTGCTCTCTTATCAACGCTTTTTATTATCTTTTACGATGTCTAGACACCCCCAAAGAGTGTTAGTTTACTCATTGCTAGGTATTTGGTATTTTCTTCTTTTGTGTTAGAAAAATAGGCTGTGCACAATTACTGGCATGCACATACGCCTGCTTTTATCACCTGATGTGTTGCCATAGACTACGCAGATGCTTAACTTTCTAAGAAACTAATCCTGCAAAGAATTGTACCATGTTGCACTCACACCACCAGTGTAGAAAGTTCTAGGTCCTCCACAGTGTCAGCCAACACTTGGCACGATCGATCTCTCCAATTTCATTGGGTATTTAATAGTACCTCATATAGCTTTAATTTACATTTCACGATCACTAGCAACATCAAACATGTTTTCATATGATGATCCACTCATACTTTTCTTTGGTGAAGCATTTCTTTAGGATTTAAAACATTTTTTTTTTTGGTTCATTTAGTCAATTTTCAGAATTCTTCAAAAACAGATAAAATCCTTTATTAGACGTGTGTCTGAAACATTTCCTCCTGTTTTTGTATTTTTTTTTTTAAAGATTTAAAACATGGTTTTTATTTGGAAGAATTAATACAGGAGGAAAGGACAGCTCCTCCATCCACTGGTTCATTTCCCAAATGGCTGTGATAGCTGTAGCTGAGCCAATCAGAAGCCAGGAGCTTCCTCCTGTTCTCCCACATAGGTGCAGATGTTCAAGGTCCTGAGCCATCCTCCACTTCTTTCCCAGGCTTTAAGTAGGGAGCTGGATCCGAAGTGGAGCACTTGAACAGGTGCCATCATGGGATGGCAGCATTACAGGCAGAGGCTTACCTACCATGCCATGATGCCAGTTCCCTGTGGTTTCTTAGAATCCTTCATAATCTGTTAGATAAGAGTAAAGATTATGATGCTAATGAAGTCCTATTCTCCAACATGCTCATTCTCTTACAGATCACACTTACGGTATTGGATCAAAGAAATGTTTGCTTAACATGAGGTCACAGTGGTTTTATTCCAGGGATTTCATATCCCTGGATTTAGTTATGCCTGTGACACGTGGTGAGTTAAGTTTTGTGATGTGTCAAGTGTAAGGTTCATATGTTTGCATATAAAACAATTTTTCAAATACTGTCAAAAAGGTTCATTTCTCCAATGAATGATCTGTATGGGTATGAACTTACTTCTGGACCCTGTTCAGTTTCACGCTGTCTTGATTGCTGCAGCTGGGTATTAAGTCCTGCAGCAGGGGCATGTCGGCCCTTGGCGTGTATTCTTTTTCAGATTTGTTTTAGGTCTTAGGTCGTGGTAACATATGAATTAAACTGTCTTTTCAATTTTCATCCCTAGAGCAATACTGATTATTACTGAACTAAATCTACAGATTAATTTGGGAAGATTTGACAAGGTAATATTATGGACTATTTTGATCAATAGAGTATTTTTTCATTTACTTTAGGTAGTATGTTATTTGTCCCAGTAATATGTTCTAATTTTCAATATTCAGGTCTGACACATACTTTGAATTTCACATTTTTGTAAAAGTTATGTTGCAATTATTGTGGCAGAATTAGAACTGATTTTCATGTTAATTTTTGTATCCTACAACCCTGCTAAATTCATTCAGTTTAGAAGTTCTTGTACCTTTCATCAGTTCCCCTACATGGATGATTGAGTTATCTGTATAAAGAACTTAGTTCCTTTCCAGTTTGAATGCTTTTTTCTAGCTTATGTACTTTGGCTACCTCAATCAATACAATGTTGGGTGGAAGCAGTAAGAATGGACCACCCCGTCCAGGTTCTCATCTAATGCTAACTTGAGCTGTAGTTTCCTTGTAATACTTTCTGCGAGGGTTAGCAAGGTGCTCCCCAGCCTGATTTGCTAACTAGTCAGTGCTGGACGCTGGACTGCATTGGGAGTCTAGTGAGGTGGCCGTGTGACGTTTTTTTCCTGTTTGACAGTGAGGCAAGTCATGACATTAACAAATATCTGCATTTCTGGGATAAACTCATCTGCAAGTATATGATACACTGCTCTTTAAAATAGATTGTTGGATTCATCTGTGGCCATTTTGTTTAGAACTTTTACATAAACATTTGCTTAAGTGTTTTAATATTTGTCTGCAGTTGGTTTTCAGGAAAAGGTTGGTATCAGTAAAGTAATGATTCTTATTACCTCATTTTCTGGAATAGATTGTAGAACTATTTTCAATGATGATAGGGCGCATTGCATTTATGAGAAGCTTTTTATTTTAAACTGAAAATTTCATTAACATTCAAGGTGTTTCCTGTTTCATATTTTGTGAGTTTTCAACTTTCCAAGGAAGTTGCCATTTCATCTGTTTGGACCCTGTTGGTGATGTCATATCTAACATTGCTTGTTAACTTTTTAGTTTATTAAGAGACTATAATGATGAAATATTTTATTTATGATATTAACGATGTCTTTGTTCAGAGTTAGAAATGTATCAACTTTTAATCTTACAATCAGCTTTTTGTTTTATTGACCAGGGGGAAATTCACATGGATTCCTTTACAGCAACTTTATCTTTTTTTTGCCATAATTATAGTACCTTGCATTTATTAAATATTCACGCTGCACCTTTTAGAATTTATTGTAAAGTATCAATAACTTCCACAGATTTGTGCATTTATTTTCTAAAAAAATGCAACTACCATGTAATATACTTTATGGGGTATAGCATAACACAACACATCTACACAGTTTAAACCAATCATATCAGGCAATTAATCTTTCTGATTCCTTGTTGGTGTGTCTGAAGCCTACCAGCTTCTCTCCAGCTCTTGCTACAGAATGAATTACCGGGAACTACAGTCACCCTACAGCTGTATCCAGCTTCAACTGCTTCAGTGGTAACCTCTCCCACCAGATCTCGTTCTCAGCTTCCAGTAAGCATTTAAAATTATATATATGTGTGTATATATATAAACTTCGTGTCAATACAAATTACATATAATTTATGTAAATGCTAATTTTTATTATTTTCAATGACATGGTTTTGTAGGCAGATTTTCTTCTCCCCCTCCCCTATATTATCACAGCAGTAGAGTCCTTTAGTAATAGTTATAAGTTTAACATTCTGCTACTGAAGTGTATCATGGCATTTTAGGTATAGGCAAAGTTGGAAAGTCTAGTGTTAAATTGTCATTTAACTGTTTAACTGCTTCATTGGAAGTCCTCCTTTTGGGAGTTGCGATGCATACTGCACGGCATCTTCACTCCTGCTGAGCACGTGAGAACACGTGGTGTTTATCTTTCTGGGTCTGTCTGTTCTCCCTTGTGATAACTACCATTTTTAATAATATTCATACATGGCATTCTCTTTCCTCTCAAACACTCTGATTCTGTACCCTGGCTAGTGTGAATAATGCGGCCTTGAATACAGGGGTGCAGGCATCTCTTTGATAGCCTGTTTGAGTCTGACCTTTATTATTATTCTCTTTTAGTTTCCTTTAAGATTTATTATTTATTCAAAAGGCAGGGAGCCAGGGAGGGAGAATAAGAATGAACAAATGAGAGTAAATCTTCTATCCAATGGTCCACTCTACAATGGCCACAACCCAGGGCTAGATTAGACTGAAGCCAGGAACTCCATCCTGGTTCCCCCCGTGAGTGGCAGGGACCCAAGAACCTGGGTGATTTTCCATTGCAGTCGTGCTAGGTACATTATTAGGGAACTAGACGAGAAACATACCAATTGGAACCTGATCCAGCACTCAAAATAGGATGCTGGCATCCCAAGCATGGCTTAACCCTCTGTGCCACAAGGCTGGTCCCCTTATTATTAGAGGAATTCCCAACCCTTCAAGTGCCACTTTATCTATATCCCACAAATATTAGAAAACTGTTCTTATTTTCCCTCAGGATAACACTTTAAAAATGTTATTTTAAAAAGCAGGTTTTACATAGAGGATGAGGTAAAGTGGGAGGGGGGCGATCTTCTGTCACGGCTTCACTCTGCAAACGGTCCAACCAGTCAAAGCTGAGCTGACCCAAAGCCAGGAGCTTCCTTTGGGTCTCCCTCATGGGTGCAGGGGCCCAAGGACTTGGATTCTACTTGGCTGCTTTCCCAGGCCATACACAGGGAGCTGGCTGCTGGACAGGAAGTAGAGCAACTAGGACTAGAATTGGTGCTCACGGGATGTTGACACTGCAAGGTGGAGGACTAACGCATTGAGCCACTGCACCAGACCCAGTATACCGTATTTTGAAACCCTCCTGCTATTTCTCTTACCAATATATTAGCTGATTGCACACTAATTTTTTTTTGTTGTATTTGGGAAGATTTCCACATGTTTTTTTCTAAAAAGATTTATTCATTTATTGGAAAGTCAGATATACAGAGAGGAAGATCTTCCATCCATTGATTCACTCCCCAAGTGACCACAATGGTCGATGCTATGCCGATCTGAAGCCAGGATCCAGGAACTTCTTCCAGGTCTCCCACACGGGTGCAGGGTCCCAAGACTTTGGGCCGTCCTCGACTGCTTTCCCAGGCCACAAGCAGGGAGCTGGATGGGAAGTGGAGCTGCCGGGATTAGAACCGGTGCCCAAGGTGAGGACTTTAGCTGCTAGGCTACGCCGCCGGGCCCTCACATGTTTCTGATACTGATTTCTAACAATTTCATTGAAGGCACAGAATATAGTTTGTATGCTCTGAAAAAATGCATCAACACTTGTTTTATGGCCCTGAATTATGTTTATTGATAAACAGTCAGGGTTTACTTGAAAAGACTACCTACTGATATTCTTGGGTGGTAGTCTCCAAGAGACAATTGGGTCATGGTAATGGACAGTGTCATTTAACCTACTGATTTGCTGAAAATTTTTATTTGTTCTGTAAACTGTTGAAAGGAATATTCTAATTTCTGACCCAATCATGGATTTCTGTTTCTCCTTCACATATCTGGTACATGAATGTTTAGGGAGGCTATGCCTTCTTGGAAAACGGACCGTTCAATATAAACTGACCTTCATTAGGCTTGGTAATCTTTGGATTCTGTTTAACTTTTGTCATACTGTAGTTATACCAGCTTTCTGTGGAGTATTGAAGCATGGTATGTCCTTTTGCTGATCATCTTAACCTATCAATTTCCTTGGATTAAGTAAATTTCTTGAGGGCAAGCACGTAATGGTCTTGCTTTATTATGTAGTCTCAATTCCTTATTTTTGTAGTTGTGGCATTTAATCCTGCATTAGTTTCCCATTGCTGCTGCAACAAATTACCACACACACAGAGGCTTCAAGCAGTATATACATGTTCTTGCCTAAAGGAGGGAGCCGCAGGGCTCTGGCCTTAGTGGAGGCTCTAAGGGAGAATGACTCCCTTGCCTTCTGTGGGTGTTGGGAGTTAGACCCCTTGGCTTGTGGCCTCAGATTGGTCTGATGTCTTGGTAGCTTCTACTTTAATGTTTTATAAAGGAGCTGCAGGATCCTTTAAGTTTATTCCAAGGTGTTTAAATCTGTTACTGTGAATGGGGCTGATCTTGGAAGTGCTTTCCCTGGGACTGTGCATTCAAAGGCTACTGATCGCTGTGTGTTGCTTTTATATTCTGCGAACTTTCCTTATGAGTTCCAATAGTACACACTCTGTGTTTGTCTATAGCTGTAATCTTGAGCTCAGCAACTCAAGGCCTTCAACTTGGTCTTTTTTTATGAATAACTTTTACCCTAAAAAGTTTCAAATGAAAAAACTATGCCTTTACAGCTTTGTTTTTACTAGAAGTTAATTTCGAAACACTAGTTTCCGATCCATGTATTTTTATGTGCAGCATTTTTATTTTCTTTCACTTGAAATATTTTCCAATTTCTTTCCTGATTTTATCCTTGGTCAGGAGCATGTCCATCTAGCTTCCAGTTATTTGGACATTTCCCACATGTGTTTGTTGGTGATCCAATTCTTACTCTGATTTCAAAGCATGCACATGAGAATGAAAAGTACATGGATCTTGTTTAGAGATAGAAATTTACATAACTCAGCTGAGTTGTGCTACTTGATCTGCAAGAATATTTGAACAGTTTGGCTTTTTTTTTTAACCTTTTACTCTCTAATGTTACATAATACATATGAAAATAGGATCTAATAAAGTATCACTTCTTGTCTTACTCCTCATCTGAACATCTACTGTAACTGGTATAAAAACATCCCTTCTATTGCAGCGTGTTTGTTTATCTCATGTAGCTTTTCCATCAAGCCAATACATGTATTTAAAGTATCTCATAGGCAGCTCACAGGCACATACTGCATTTTGCACTTGGTCTGCCAATCTCAGGTGCTTAAAGTTTTTCATTAAAAATGTTTCTCTTGGCACCAGTGCTATAAGATAATGAGTTAAGCCATAATCTGAAATGCTAACATCCTGTAAAGGGACTGCTTTGAGTCCCTGCTTCTCCACTTCCAATCTAGTTCCCTACAAATATGCCCTGGGAAGTGACAAAAGATGGTCCAAGTGCTTGAGCCCCAGATGAAGCTACTGGTTCCTGGTTCCAGCCTGTCCCAGCCCTGGCTGTTGGGAGCTATTTGGTGAGTGAACCAGTGGATGGAAGATCTGTTACTATCTCTCCATAATTCTTTCAAATAAGTATTTTAAATTTCTCCCTGTAGTTATCACAAATACAATATAATTCAGTATTGTAGCAAAATGGCAGTATCTCATTGTAAATTCAAATCTGTACTTTGAACATCTAATGAAATTTTGTTTTACCTATAAAACCTATTTAAATGAAAAATACTGGGATTTAAAAAATTACTGTAAGATTTCCCTAGATGAAATCTAGTGCAGGGCCGCAAGGCTTTGGGCCATCTTCGACTACTCTTCCAGGTCACAAGCAGGGAGCTGGAGGTAAGCACGACCAAGGCAAGGACTTTAGCCACTAGGCAACTGCGCCGGGCCCAGCAATATAAAGAGAATGACAGGTATATGCAGCTGCTATCAAGTTATATCAACATAACAAGCCCTTAAAAAAACTCTATTGAATTTACTTGAAAGGCAGAGCTGCAGAGAGATCTACTTGCTGGTTCACTCCTCACATGGCTGGAGCTGGACCAAGCCAGGAGCCTGGAATTTCATATGGATACAGAGGCCATCCAGGCACACTATCCAGGGAAGTGTAGTAGCTGGGACTTGAACTGGTGCCCAGATGGCGATACTGGCATCACAGGCAGTAGCTTTACCCATTACATCACAATGCTGGTCCACAGAGTAATGTCTTAATGGCATTTATTTTTTCAATTTTCTAAAGAATTGGAACTACTGTAGGAAGGTGACTTTTTTTTGCATTAAAAGTATCACATAGCACTGAGTTAATACTCACTTAGTTCTCACAACACACCAGGCTTCCTCTAAAACATAATAGTTTACATGTAACTCCAACAATTTATCTCTCACTTCTTTTGCAGATTTTCGGCTATATACAGAATAAACAATTTTTGTCCGGGCTCTTTAAAATCAAAACAAGAAATTATTAGTATTTAACATTTTAGAAATGTTAAAATAAATACTAACAATTCTTCTGATAAACAGATATCTTACCCCTTCTCACTGAATGGAATGCTGATGCATAGAACTAAAAAACGGCCTAAGTTATTCTGGGAACAGCAGGTTTCATATTCATAATTCACAAAATGTTACAACCAGTTAAATGTAGTACAAGCATAGGTTTAAATAATTTCTTCTATGTATATTATGAAAAATGTTCACTGAAGCTCAATGTGGCATCTAGCATATCAAAACTACCAAATCACCCCAATAGAATCCTGAGATATTTAGGACATGATTTCTGAAGTGGGAATAAACTGAAATCATAAACAGGTTATTGTTTAATGCATTAAATATTACTTAGGATTTCAAGTATATAGGATATGCCTGTTACTACAGATTAATATTTAAAAATTCTAGTAGACAAAATCCACTGAAAGGCAAAGATTAAGCTGTTCATTGTGTTAATTGTCAGTTTTATTTTTAAAAACCAGTCACTCAAATCTTAGACCACAATCGAAACTAGAGTTCCTGTAATGCCCTAGTGTCTCACAAGCATGCGATGCAGCCCATCTCGGGGCTCTCCCAGCGTCTCTGAGTGCACCAGCACCTCCCCCGCCCCTCACCAGGGAGCATGCCCACCTCAAGTCCGCGTCCTCATAATGGGGGTGATTCACGATGGGATGCAGGGTGGACAGCTTGATACTTGCCATTGTAGGCATGGCACCTGCAAACACAGCATCTGGAAAACAAGAGTACATACTTAATATCTGAAACCCAACCGTTACAAAAGGCTATAATATATGAACCCAAATTCAGAAAGAAAAGAATATTTTAAAGTAATTACCACTTGAACCATCCTTTCCATTCACTTAACATGCACTGTCTGAGACACTAAAGCTAATCTGTACTCAATGTGACCACATGCTATGAACTGCCCTCATTTTTAGACAAGGATTAAGTTATTTAATCTGTCAAGCTCCGTGAGGTGAGTTCTCTAGTCTTTGTTTTGTAGGTCAAGAAGCAGAGACGACTGCTGTGGTAAGGGATTTGGCCAAGACTAAGAGCTGGGATGGAAAGAAATCCTGAGGGAGGAACCCAGCGCTCAAGGTGAGAGCCACACCCCTTCACCCACATTTCTTTCCTTTGGAACTAAGGGAAAGATGACCAACAGGCTAAGCTGAGGCATTTCACCACTCGCTGAGGACTTCAGCGGGCCTGCTGCAGTGACGGCAAAGGCTCCCTTCTCTGACTGCACGGCCCAGCGGTCCATGGAGGCCGTGCTGCCAAGCTGGGTTTCATCTCCCATGTTATTTCATTATTCATTTTTCTTCACAAATTACATTACTGGACAGGACAGACCTTGAGCAATGATTCCACTCCTATTATGGAACTTACAGAAGCTTTTCACAAACATGAGAGAACTCGTGATAAACAGAAATTTCTTTTTTTTTTTTTAACAAACATGTCTGATTTTCATAGTTATCCTAGAAGGATATTTGGTTAAAAATAATTTTCTCTTCCAGAAACCCAACACTGAACCCTGAAATAAAGGAGAAATAAGGGAAAAGAAAGGTACAGGGGTCTTAAAGCTCCCGGGAAGCCGCTGTCCCTGGAGGGGTGCAGGAGGGAGAGGACAGAGCACCGCGTGCCCGCCGAGGAGGTGTGAGGACACTGGCCTGGCCACGCAGTGTGTGGGGAGGCAGTGTCGCTCCCGCCCTGGGAAGTCCCCGAGCATCTACCCAGATTGAAGCTTTTCATGTTTCCTTAGAGATGGCTGCTTAGGAAAATGGTGCTAATTAAAAAAAGATAGAAGAAGTGAACTCAGTTACAGGAAAATACAGAAAACGACACTAAAGAATTGGTGCAAGAAAATAACTTGTAATCTTTGACATTTGGGTTTAGATTTAGTATAAGTTACAAGAAATACTGTAGTATATTCTCTGGAAATTGATTTTACAATCTCCATCTGATTAAAGGTTTTTGTTTTTCTAAACTGTATTCTCTTGAGAGACAAGCAGAGCGGGAGTATGCTCCCCACCCGCTGGCTCACCTCCTCAACAGCCTGCAACAGCTGGCACTAGCTGGGCAGAACCTGGCAACTGAGTGCAACTTTCCCATGCAGGTGAAAGGACCCAACCACGCAAGTCCTCCCCGCAGCGTAGCAGCCAGAGGGAGGAGGTGAATCTGGGTAAATCATAGCCCTCCTGTCATCTGAACCATCAGGAAAATGCCAACCCCTGTTAGAGCTAGAGCTCTAAGAACATTCTGGAGTATTTACAATCAGGATTTACACCCAGGAATGACCACCTCACTGAACGCTGCTTAGGAGGGGTTTGCTAAACAGACACTGCAAAGGCCTATTTTTCACCAAAATAAACATGCATTCACCTGTTATAAAATCTCAACAGGAAGGATAGGCCTGTGCCACTAAGAAGGACCAGATAATGGCTTGAAAAGATCTTCTATTACAGCAACACAAAGTCTGCTCAAATTGAAGCAACTACAAGTTTTGCTAAAGCTCAGGTGAAGACTGACAGGAACATTTTTGGGATCCAATGCTGATTCCTTGGAGGTCACTGAAAACGAGGCGGCAGCAGCGGGCCACACCCACCACTGGTGAGGAAAAAAGCGGGTGCCGTGGACAGTTCAACGTGCACAGTTCTGACTCAATGCATGTGGAGGAAGCCTTTGTTTATTGGGCAACAAAGCTGTTGCACCCAGACTGTTTGCAAAGAGCAGAGCCCTGAGTGCACGCTGAGCCTACAAGTGGAAGCCAAGACCCTGCAGCACTTCCGAGATGGCCGAGGAGAGGAGAGGAGGCAGGGTTCCACGGGCACCAGTGTGAGGGCAAAGCACCACCATGGCAACAGCTACCAGGAGGTGAGAGTGGTACAAGGTGAAAGCAGACAGGTTAAGACCCCCCCCAAATCCTGGCAGCAGGGTTCTGGGGAAATCTCATTGAGGATCAAAGAACAATTAATAGCTGCTTGTGAGGTGACTGGGTATTCTGATATGGTCCAAGTTTCTGCAGAAAAACCCCTGGGAGAGCTGCACTGTGAGCGCTCTCCGCCCGGAGTGTACCCTGCACATTCCTCTAATTCGGCAGGGCGACTGTGCAAAGGTCTGATTGGCTCCTTCTGATTTCTCAGTCTCATTCAGTTTGTTACATAAAGTAATTGACATGATTCCATTGCTAGGATCCTCAGTTCTTGATGAAGGCACTAAATGACAGAACTGTCACAAAGTATCTTGAACTTCTGGAATTGACTGAGAAAGTTTATAAAGTCTTTTCATTCGGGTAAAGGCAAACATATAAAATGGGAACTGTACACAGCTACATAATGTGTGTTTGTGTGTGTAAAACCGCCTATACATGCAACTAAATAGCCACTTACCTGGTCTCGTATTGTATCTGATCCAGTGAATAAGTTCTTCCTGTGGCAAATTATTAAATTCTCCTATAATGCTCCACTGATTATGGAGGTTTGCACAACCTTGCAATGACATCACTGTTAGAATGCCAAAGATAACATTCTCAAAACGGATTCTGCAAAAAAGCCAGCCAAAGAGCTGAAATGAAAGAAACCACTTATTTATAATTCTTATATGAAATTAAGAGTGAATAAATCTGCACCTAGAGTCTAAAATTCTTACCTTAATCTTTAAACCAAAAGGATTACCTTTTGCTAACAGTATACAAATACATAGAATTATCACCTATTTATTTAAAAACAAGAATGCATTTGCTGAAATTGCGGGGTCTAGTTCAAAATGGAACTGTCCCTCACCTTGAAAGAATGAGGCAGTATTTGCTCCTTGCAGTACTGACTCATTACCAGGCTTCAAGATTCGGGATACCATTTTGATGCCTCTTATATTGAAGCACTTTAAGCTTTGGCTGTGTTTTATGAAAATCTGGAATTACTATGAAAAGCTCTTAGCACTGACACATACACAATGTCTGTTCAAGGGTATAAAGCAATACGCTCATAACAAAACTGTACTATGCTCTCAAACACTTTTACCCCAACATGCTAGGCAACTTAACTCCAATAATGGAGCTCTGGCACTGACAACTTTTCTTGGGGATTCTCTGGGCTCAACAGGAGTGCATTAGAACAACGACATCAGATGCACTCTGGTTTGGTGAGTCCTGTAGGGTGGCTGTGGCAGGTAAGCAAACTTCCACAAAACCAAACTCGGACTGTTTACAAATAAGACAACGACCACTTGTCATGGAGACATCGAGGTCTAGGAATAATTTTTAAATATAGTTGAAATTTTTCTTACTCTACAGATTCATAACCAATACTTTATCATTTCAGCTAGCACATTTATGTCTTGGTTACTCAGCAAACCTGAAGTGCCTATTCTGCACTCACTCCCGTTAGAATGCCCTTAGACAAAGTGACTGCCTTACCCGTCGCGAGCAGAGCAAGGATGCCATAACGCACATGTGTGGGGTCAGGAACAACTTCAGCCTCATAATTAAAACGGCAAGGCCACTAAATGCCAACAGCTGCAGTGCATGGAAAATCAGCTAAAAAACAATAAATATTGTAACTTTATTAAAGTAGTAAAATAAAGTATTCAGACATGCTAGCATTAGGGCACAGATCTAATGTCATGATAAATCAAGCACAGGGTTCTCAGATGCACGGTACTCAGCGCTGCCTGGCTCTGGGTGGGATGTCACTGCTCTTGTCCCTGCTGAGGCAGACATATGTGGGAGCTTAACAAGGCTGGGAGGGTGGGAAAGGTGCAAATAAGGGAAGCTGGGTCTGGCTCACTGACAAATTAATATGAAATGTTAGTATAGGGTAAGTGGAGTGTGGGATATATAGGAACTCTTGTACATTTAGAAAAATTGTGAAGTGGTAGTACTAAAACTCTGAAAATGTTCTAAGAATATTTTATAATTTAGAATTTGCTGATGATTTCCTATCTCCTTTCCCTTTCAATGCCCCTAAATAATTTGGTGACATTTAAATGTTGCTTTGTTAATGTCCCCCTTGTAAAATTGTAAGTACTTGAGGGCAGGAGAATGACTGACCTACATTGTACATCCTATGACACTGAGTTTGTAGCCAACTCCCCACCAAATCTACATAGTGGCAGAAGGTGTCCAGTCCTGGGCCATCCAGGGCCAGCAGCTGGCCAGCTCAGCAGGCTACAAGCAAACTTGTTCAATGAGTGAAAGCAATTTCATTATGTTCCATGGTCATCAGTCCACCTCCTGGCTTTCAGATCCTTCTGATTATTCACAAGTGAGAGCAAATGAAGGAGCAGGGAGGATTGGTGGGAGTTTACCGAAGCTGAGCCACCTGCAGCATTACGGCTGGCATTCCGCAGCGTGGCCCCACCTCTGGGCAGGACCATTAACTAGAGTTTAACAGTCAACCCCAGAGTCAAATAAAAGCTTTACCTCACCATGTTCAAGGAGCTGTTTTCTGAAATAAAACAGAAAATGACCTGTCCTGAAAATCTAGTACACAGTCGAAAGAAGTTTCATTTATTGTTTTAGAAAAATTTGATCTTAAGCTACTTAGGAGAGTAAATGAAGGGCTAAATATTACTAAAAATACAATTTACAGACATCCTACCTCTGGTATGTCAAAAACCCAGCCTTGGTAAGATGAAACAGGTTTACTGATCCTTAGAGACTGCGCCTCTGGCGAGCACAAAATGACAACAGTCCGGATATTTAATGAAAGACCTACTTATGGCACGTTCAGCCATGTTCACACTCCTGAATTGTTTCTATTTTTCACAGACAATGTGAACATCCCTGTATGCAAAGTAGTGAACATTTCTAAATGTTTTCTTAGAAGAAATGCTGGGTAAAATACTTTTAGTTCCAGGAAAGTTATAATTAAGTACTTACAGTACACATACTGTGGCCAAGGCACTGTGCAGAGAACACAGTGAAAAGGCAGCTTTTTAACTCAGAGTTTACATTAGAGCCATACAAGTTGAGAAACTGCCCATTTTGTCCTACTGAAAGGCTGGGGGTTCCATTGTTCCAACAGGCTCTACAAGACGTGGGGCCTTCTAACAGGGATATGGAGACTGGAAGGAGAAGCAAGGCCCTGCCCAAGGGGCAGCTGGGAGAAGAGCCTGGCACGTACCTGTGCTTCCTTCCCCCACAGCCGTGCAGGGAGAGGAGTCCCCACTTGTCCCCAGATCATAGCCAGTCACAGCAGGATCCCTTGGTGAGCAACTGAGCCAGGAAGAGACCTGACAACAGTGGCTGAGAACAATCCTCATTCCTGCTGACATAAGTGACCTAGTAGCTAATTTCAAATATGGATATATAAGGCATAAATAGCTGAATGAGGAAAAAAATCTGATCTCAGGCAGCAGAGCTGGGGCAAGCAATAAGCATCAAATGACAATGCCATTTCCTCTCTTCAGAGGATGCTGAGAATGGCTGCTTCATGTCATTAGAGCAAGCTGTAATGACCAGCTCTCAAACTCGGGCAAAACACATTTCCCAAAAAATCTAAACAAAAATGTTGAGAAAGAAGGAATGTACACAGTAAGCTGGTAACACTGAAGAGCCAGTCGCAGAATTACAAGAACACAGAGAAAGAAGGGCAAGAGTTCAACAGTTTTCCTGGAGCTCAGCAGTGACAGGTCTGCAAACACTATAAACCTTCTTCAACTGAAAGCATGGAAGGTATAACAAACTACACAGTCCATGTGGAAAAAACCGTGGTGAGATTCATGGGGGGAAAACCGCAAAACTTGACCAACTGAGATTTGGAACAGCAGCAGCAATAACACAGCTGCTGGTTCTGTCAGCAATTCTGAGCACTTTACACCTGCTGACGCTGGCTATGCATCCTCTCCAGGCCCCCGGGGAGGCCCGTGTGATCATGGCCACTCAATGCATCATAGACCTGTGGCACAGAGGGGTGAAGAAACTTCCCCACACTTAGCTACAGCAGAATTCTGGATGCAAAAAGCTATCCTTTTAAGGATACAGCCCCTTTTAATGAATCTGCAGCAAATCCAATGTACTATGATGGGTGCCCGGGGAAAAGAGGACTCTATACTGTTATCTCCATGTTTACCTATAAAAGTAGGAATATATGAAATGCAGCGAAATAGGAGAGGACAAAAACCATATTGTTCTGGCTCAGAAATACCTAGTTCAGTACAAGAGAATCTAAGAAAGAGCAAGGGCGTATTGGAATCTGGCATTTCAAAGGGCTGAAAATAGATGAGGTGATACAGGGCTGGGACAGGTAGCACCCTGGATCTCACCACAGTACAAAACTAATGCAAAAATTAGCAATCGGTACAACAGAAAATGATGAAAGAAAACATGTTAATGTTTACAAAGTAAAGAAAACTTTTTAAACAAGCAAAAACAGAAAATGGGCAGTTATGGTTAAGCAGAAAATTTCTAAAGTTAGAACCATAAATAAACTATAAATTGACATTCTGGAAGAAATTATAGGATACACACAATAGACCAAAGGTTACTGTCTATTAAAAAAATAAATGACCACAAATCAATTTTTAAAAGGTCAAGAGGAAATACAGTCAACAGACACATGGAAAGATACAAAACATCACTGATCAGATGGATAGGACAGGTTACTCTTTTTCCTATTCAGAAAATTTTAGAAGTTTGATAAAAAATTGGTGTTCATGGAGACACAGGGAAAACAGTGCTTTCATCATTGCAATTGACCAGCGTTTGTCATATCACAGAAGAGGGCTTCCAGCAGGCCCACTCCAAATATTTCATGCTACAGAAACACTAGAAAAATGAGTGAAAAGTTGCATACAAGGATGTTCACTACTGACAACTTAGGCTGTTAAAGTTAAGCATAATTTAAATACCCATTGATACAGCTAGGGCTAAATGCGTGGTACTCAGCTAGGACAGCAAACAGTAAGATGCTAAGACCAATAAAAAGAGTAGGGGAAATCTAGACTTGTATCCGACAGTTACATGAAAGAACCACCTTCAGAATGATGAGAGTCCAGTTTTCATTTTTAAACCATAATGATTGTTTCTATATCTGATTTCTAGAACGACACCTCCAAATCTGCTTGCCATAAGCACCTCTGGGGAGACTAAAGGGCAAGGAATCAGTCTCCTCTACTGGACATGCTTTTCCTAAATGTCCGGAACAAGCATGCAATACTTCAATGCTTTGAAGGACCCCTGTGCCCCACCTGGGCCAGCCACTTTTAGCAATGTGATTAGCAAGAAAGACTCCCTTTGGGCTAAGTATCTTCTACCTGTTGGTTCTCCAAGTCTGTCTGCTTCCACTAACATCCTCTCAAATATCTGAAGACAGTTGTTACGCACCCCCCGGTCTTCCTGCAGCTCACTGAAGAGTCCAAGTCCCTTCACTCATTCTCCATCGGAACAATTTTCCAGGTTCTCAATACACTCCTTCTAAAATGCTGGGACATATTTTCCTGGCCTCCATTCCAACACAACAAATCACGATTGCTCTGTTACCTTCCTTACTCCGGAAATGAGTTCAACAGCACACCTAGGAGCATCTTTAGATCTTCCGACAACCACACAAAACTGATGATGAGACATTCAAGCATGGAGTTCACTAAAGCTCTTTGTCAATCCAAGACTATTACAAGTAAAGGCCATGAAACAAAATCAAATGGTCATTCAAAACTGCAAATTGTAACTCTTCTGTTCCCTCAAATTTTTTTCTTTACAATTTACTTTCTGTGTTCAGCAATTTTATTTATGTATGGTTTATATGAGTCATGGCAGTGTTTTGCTACTTTAATAAACTCCACTGACTTTACTGGGACAACCAGAAAATGTGACAGCAGTCTTAGCAATAAACAGACAAAATTATTTCAGAATTCTCAGAAAAACAAGTCATCTTCTCTTCTCTAAAAGCTTAAAAAATAAAGTCTAGCCAAAACAAACCGAGCTTTCTTCTCTTTACTATCATGAATTCTAGTGATCTATTAAAATGAAACGAAATCAAACTCTAAACTAGTTCACAGATAGTAGTCTCCTTTTTTGAAGAAACACCTGAGTTTGGTTCATCTCTCCTTAAGCGTAATGAATGTGCATTTGAGAAAAAACAGTATTATAGTCACTTATTTGATTGAATAAAATCTGTCTTAAAAACAATGATGGAATTACCTTAGATAAGTGTTTGCAGATAAGACACAAGAAACATCACGAGTAGTCTGAAAAGAAGCAAATCAACAAATTCAGGAAATATGACACCATGCTCAGATTCATTAATATAAACACCCACATGAGAAATAAGTTTTTAAATGATAAAATGAGTCTTCAGGAACAGTTTGGTCCCAGTCCTACCCTAGGCAAAGAAGTAAGTTATAAATTCATCTATTAAAAAATCAGTGTTTGAGTAGCCAGATGTTTAAGGTCTATTTCAGTTCGCAGATTCTAAGCTTGAGTATGTGGATAACTACTTACTAGTGTCTCAAATTTGCTTTCTACAAGCGCAGGAGCTTATTTCCTGCACCTTCAGAGACGTTTTGTCTGTCTCTCTCAGGCAAATCAGGAGCACATTACAATCCTTACCTTGAACCCAAAAGAAAAAAAAAAATTACCTTCTTAAAAATAAAACCAGCAACCATCATGACAACTGGAAGCAGTAATGTCTTTGTGTATCTCAATGGAGTCTGAAATACAGAAAATTATGCTATAAATTATTTATTGAAATCTGCTTTAAACTAGTAAAAAATCTATCAAACTGCATACCATAATTTTTTTAAGGTAAAATGCACTAGCACATTATTTACCAACCTCTTAATTTTAATGTAAGAAACAATTATAAGAATGATATGCAGCTGTTAAAAGCTTTTAAAATTAAATCCAGGTTAAGCTATATCTATTGTATTTTTATTTAATACTAAGTTTCAAGATGGGTGTTCATGGATTCCTGAGCTGCTGTGTCACTGCCTTCCTTAGTGAAATTGGAGCTGCAAAGGTAGAAAGCTACCCAAAGTCATTACTCGAAGTGTAATTCTCATACTTGTTATTGAGACGGGGAGAGATTTACCAGGTAAGTAAATTACATATTTCTTGAAAGCAAGAACTAGGGTGTTTTACTCAATGCAGTTCTTACAACAAACTGCCCAATACATCCTAATGGCTGTTAATCATTTTTAAGTTAAGGAAAATCTGTTTGGATGAATTAAGTGAATAATGTAAAATTTCATTGTTGGATTTTTCCAATAATTCAGAATTTTAATTAGGCAGGCTAACCCATTAACAACATCTTCCTGTTCGATGAAGACAAAGCTAAGCCACCAACAGGAGGATGAACACTGGGCTGGGCTCAGAACCTGCCAGAACCCCTGTCTCACTTGGCTCCCATGGTACTTTCCCATTTTGTACAAGTCTTTCCCATTTTGTTTTCTTCCTCTGCAAGCAGAAGGCATGTGCATTTAAAAAAAAAAAAAAAAACTACTTTTTTTTTGTTAGAAAGGCAGATCTACGGAGAAATCAGAAGACCTAAGGAGAGACAGAAAGAGCGTCCATCTGCTGATTCATTCCCCAAATGGCTGCAATAGCCAGAGCTGAGTTCGTCCAAAGTCAGGAGCCAGGAATCTCCTCTGGTCTCCTATGCAGTACATGGTCCCAAGGCTTTGGGCCTTCCTCCACTGCTCTTCCAGGCCACAATCAGGTAACTGGATGGGAAGTGGAGCAGCTGGGACACAAACTGGTGCCATATGATAGATACATGGTGCTTGGAGGTGCAGAATTAGCCAATTGAGCCTTTGTGCCTGCACAGAGCTCGTCCTGCTCTTGTGTTCAGTGATTCCACAAAGACATAAATGTTTCAAATCTTAGCAACTTGACCTTTTTTTGTACAAGGGAATATTACATGGTGTTGGCCTTATGCAGTAAGTAAAGCCACTATCTGAATATCTGCATTCATCGTGAGCACCCATCTCAATCCTGGCTGCCTCACTTCCCATCCAGCTCCCTACAGTGGAAGATGGTCCAAGAGGCTGGGCATCTCCCAGGCGTGAGGGAGATCCGCATGGAGAACCAGGCTTCTGCCTGTGGACTGCTCAGCTCTGGCCGTCACAGCCACTGGAAAAGTGAACCCGTGGAGAGATGGAAGACTGACTGATGATGTTTCTTTCTCTCTCTTCCCCAATGCTCCCTTTCAAAGAAATCAATGAGTATTTTTAAAGATAACCAAACATTTGGATAACAATCAATTTCACATACTCATTAAAACTCAGAAGTAGTAAACCACCTTTATTGGAAATCCTATTGTTAAAATGTTATTTTATCATTTGGGTTATTAAATGTAATAAAACTAAATTTGGATTATATTTTCCTGAATGGCCTCATTTCTCTAAATGGCCTAGATTATTATTTGTAATAATAATTAATGTAGTCATATGTTCAACACACTTACTGAATTTCTCTCTTTAATAAAGGAGATGTTATTTACTAATTTACAGAAAATAGGTTAGAAAGGCCATATGGTTAGCAAAAACAAAATCACATTGCATGCTAATGAACTTCAGATTAAAACAGAGGAACTAAAAGAAAAAAAATAATCATACTGCTTTTTCCATGAAGTCAAATTCTGGAGCACAGGTATATATTAACGTATCGAAATCTGTATATCTTAAGATTCTGGCTGCTATGAGGTCACTCAGGCGAATCTGAGAGAAAACAAAGGTAGTTAAATTATAGAAGTGGCCACTGTTAGTACTGGTTTGATCTATAGAGAGCTGACATACACAAGCCACATAGATGCCTCTAAAAATCAGATGTATAGCATTCTGACACATCAAGGTAACTGAAAATGTAGAGAAATAAAAAGCAAGAAGATATCAGCAAAAATATCAGCAAAGATAAGATGATAAAGTAGTGAAAACACTTGCCCAGAAGAAACTATATGAAGTTAGTCAAGAAATTAAACCTAGATAACTTATTTTTTCCAAAAGTTTCTTTCCACAGTTTTCACCGTGGAAATATCTGCCATATTGTCAATTATAAATATTTTCTCTATTCTCATTTTCACAGTGTTTCATATACTGTCACAATGCTTCGTATTTGATGTTTTGCAAACTACTGAGAGCATTTTTTAAAAAATTCATGGGAAATGAAATTATAAGACAAGTGTAGTTTGGTGTGAAAAATACCTATGCATGCAATATTTAAAATATTAACAGAAAATACATACTATGAAAAAAAACATGCATGGGTTTCCATTTTTAGCACCAAGAAGTCTTTTAATTCTAATTTTCCACAAATTTTCTTTAAAAAGCCACTGAGTGTCAGTTACTCCTCATAAAAATTATCACACTGTTGTGATTATACTAAAATGAGATACTGAAAGTCTCTTTCTAGAAGGGACAAATATTTTTTCACTGCTTTTTCAGAAGGCCAGGAATAAGAAAATATTTGGCATGCAAAACCACAATCCAATTTATTTTACAGGGATTGAAATTAATGGTAAGTTTAATGATTACCATAGGTTTTTATTCCTTCACTGCTCTTACTTATCATTAATGAGTAACAATAATTTCACTGAGCCTCTAAAATGTCAAGTTTTGTGCCCAGCTGTCAGACAAGTTACTTGAGACTGCCGATGGGACGTGTGCACTTCTTTTTAGGTTCCCAGGAAACTAGGTGATAATATAAAGCAGGAGAAGAAACAAAAATCAAAAACCAAGAGAGATACGTAATTTACAAGGTATGAGTAGAGTTTATCATAGAAATATACACTCCCATAAAGAATTAAAAACTAAGAACAAAATAATAGGAACATGGCACACATACAAACAGCAACAAATGAACTGATAAGTTGCTGTGTACAGCTGTGATAAATGGCAAAGAAACCTTACATTAGAAATGTTAGCATGGGCACCCATGAGTGCTTAATGGGATGACGACAGCATCTCTCTTAAGAGGGAGAAAATAACAAATTGTATCTTAATTTTAGTTCACAATTAAAACTGTGTTGAATTCTGTTTTTCACAGCAGAAAATAGAGTGGCACGTGATAATAATATCAATGATAATGAAAGGTTATAATTTAAACAAATCATTACTTGCATTTTAATTGAGATATAAACAAATTCACTACTTTAACAAATTATTAGTACTTTTCCTGGAAGGCCAAGTCAGCATTAAGTGGCACATTTTTTTCTCAGCAGATTCTAAAGCTCAATGAGTTAGCAGGATTTTCTTTCCTACTCTACGTGAAACTAGCTTGAGGACTTTAAAAAAAACAAACATGCAACCTCTGTGAGGTAAAGAGATAAGATGGCTACAAAGTTTTTATCCAGCTACATGAAATTTCATAACCAGAAAGAACTTACATGGTCTGAAACGCCTAAGATTTTAGATGTCAGGAATTTCAAAATGATTGTTCCACTCAACCAGGCACAACCTTGAATAAGCTAGAAAATAAAACATAAGTCTAGTAATAGCACTTACCAACTGCCTAGCTAAAATAGTCCATTAACTCCAAACAATGTTAGACAATTGTGTTCAATGGTGAATAACTGAAATTGATGGCACCACAATACAACACATAAAATATTAGAGCTATATAGATCCTAAGTCTAAAAAACCTTTCTTTAGGCTTGTCTTTGCTATTTTTTTTAAGATTTATTTATTTTTATTGGAAAGGCAGATATACAGAGAGGAGGAGAGACAGAGGAGGATCTTCCATCTGATGGTTCACTCCCTAAGAGGCTGCAACGGCTGGAGCTGAGTCAATCTGAAGCCAGGATCCAGGAACTTCCTCCAGGTCTCCCACACGGGTGCAGGGTCCCAAAGCTTTGGGCCGTCCTTGACTGCTTTCCCAGGCCACAAGCAGGGAGCTGGATGGGAAGTGGAGCTGCCAGGATTAGAGCCGGCTCCCATATGGGATCCTGGTGCGTGCAAGGTGAGGACTTTAACTGCTATGCTGTCACGCTGGGCCCATCTTTGCTATTTTTTTATTGAAATGGGTTATGTGTATGTTTTCAAATATTATAGTCTTAATTGAAGATTAATCTTTCAAAACAATGCATTAAAAATTCCACTTTTGGAAATAATTAGATGAGCTTCAAGTAAAGAATTTTGAAATTTGAAAAGAGCTTTCCCTTTGAAAACAGAAATATGAATTAAAATTTACAAGCAGGCTTCTGTTCATTTTGGGGTTTTGTTTCTGTTTGGAAGGCTTTGATTAAAGACAGGAGAGTGCAATGGCTCAAATGGCTAATCCTCCATTTCCAAGTCCCAGAATCCCGTACAGATGTGTCTTGGCTATTCCACTTCTGATCTAGCTCCCTCCCTGCTAGTGGCCTGGAAAAGCAATGAAGGACGGCCCAAAGCCTTCAGACCCTACACCCATGTAGGAGACCCAGAGGAAGTTCCTGGCTCCTGGTTTCAGAATGGCTTCAGCTCTGGCCACTACAGTCATTTGGGCAGTGAACCAGTGGGCGGAAGATCTTTCTCTTTTCCTTCTATCTGTAAATCTGCCTTCTCTTTGTGGAGGTTTGGGGAAAGATGGGAGAGGGAGATGGTTAGCACTATGGCATAACTGGTTAAGTTGGCACCTGGGATACCTGCATCTCTTATGGGTGTTGGTTCAAGACATGACTGTCCTACTTGGAATCCAGCTCCCTGTAGCATGCCTGGGAAAGCCACGGAGGACAGCCCCCATGCTTGGGCCCCGCACCCCTGTGAGAGACCAGAGGGATTCCCAGGATCCTGGCTTTGGCCTGACATAACCCAGCTGCTGTGGCCATTTGGAGAATTAATCAGCAGATAAAAAAAACCTCCCTATCTCTGTCTCTATGTGGCTCTGCCTTTCGATTAAGAGAAATAAAAATATTTTGAAGACTAGAAATAAAAAAGGAGGGGGAGTATGGATTTCCTGATAGCATGAGAAAAGCATCCTAAACACAAACCTTTTCATATAACATTTAACAAGAAGAAAAATAAACCCACAAATATGGAAACCACAGGCTGATACCAGAAAACAGAAAAGGAAACAACAAATACAGCAGAATTATACTCCAAGCTGCTTCCCGGAGCCTTCACGGAGCCCGACAGGGGAGCTACGCAGTCATACCGTGCGGGGGAGGAGGAAGTCACCTAAGGGGCAGAGTTCACCTGACATAGGAAAATCCAGTAGACGAAGATGCCGAGAGAGGAAGGCATTGCTCTCAGAAGGACTTCACTTGTGAAAAGAAAAATTGGGTAAAAAGGGAGAGTAAATGGTAAAAGAAACAGGAAACAAGGAAGGAAAACTGAGCGTCCAGTAGAGCAAAGGAGGCAAAAGGATTCAAAATCATCCACCACTGCCCTCCTGTCTGCAAGTACACCGCTGTTTCCTCTGTTGGACTCATTTAGTCATCAGGCCAACTTGGCAAGCTTCGTGTTTCAGGCCTGTGACTTTCCAGCTCTGTAACGCCAAGACTGCCTACTTTTATTTTTAGGATTTATTTATTTGAAAGAAAGAGTGACAGAGAAACAGAAAAATCTTTAATCCATTTTAAATGGCCATAATAACCAGGTCTGGGCTAGGCTGAAGGACATCCTGGCCTCCCACATGGGTGGCAGAGGGAGGCCAGCACCTTCCAGCACCTTCCCAGGCTCATTACCATGAAGCTGGATTAAACACAGCAGCAGAGCCTCAACGTGGCACTGTGACACGGGTGCTGGTATTACACAGTAGCTTAATTTGCTGTGCCGTAATCCCAGTCCTGTATGTTTTTAAATTTCTGTTCCTTCAGTAAGATTTTCTAGTCTTTTCATTTGTTTCCAGAGTATTTAAAGTTTTTCTCTGAAGTGTTTTTAATGCTACTTTAAAATCCTTATTGATATCTTGTTCATCTCAGTACTGGCATCTACTAAGTATCTTTTTTCATTGACAGTATTTTCCTTCTTAAAAAAGATTTACTTATTTACTTGAAAGGCAAAATTAGAGAGAGAGGGAGAGACATACAGAAATCTTCCATCTGCTGGCTCACACCCAAATGACTGCAAGAGCCAGGGTTAGGTGGGATGGAATCCAGGAACCAAGAACTTCTTTGGGGTCTCCATGTGGGTTCAGAGACCCAAGGACTTAGGCCAGCCTCCACTGCCTTCCCAGGAATATTATCAAGGAACTGGATTTGAAGTGGATTAGTTGAGACTTGAACTGGTGACTGCAGGATGCTGACTGCAGGTGGTGGCTTTACCTGCTATGTTGCAGCAGTGGCCCCTGAATGCTATTATCTTCATTCTTGCTAGAATGAGTGGTTTCTATTGCATCTAGTAGAGCACAGGTATACTAGGAACTTTACACCCTATTTTTAGCATTTCATTTCAGAAATCTCTGTTTAGGTTTAATATGCAAGCCCTGACCCATTTTAAAATGTTAAAAGTGACAATTTAGGTTTCATAGCTCTTGAAATGCTCCTACAGTTATTTTACGTGGTGCTTCTTGGTGCTCCATCTCAGGCCCTATTCTATGGTGGAAGGGTCTGGAAGATGCATACTTTGGACACATGGGGGCACGGATCTCCTTGCTGGCCTGGCCACTATCAGGGCTTTTGTTTCATCCCTGCTCATGACACAGGAGACGGAAGCACAGCAGGTGACAGACCCAGAGCATAAACTGCATCCCCGCAGGCCCACTCTCTGAGTCTCTCCCCTGACCTCCACTTTCCGATGCTGGCAGAGTGCATCCTGTTCTGTCCCAGCAGATGAAAGTATCTAGGGAGGCAGACGCTGGGAGGCGCTGGGGGACAGCCTGCCTTCAGCTACAGAACGGAGTTCCAGCAGACTGCAGCCTGTTGTGCTTTACTGGGGGGAGCGGGAGGAAAGCTGAGGTCTCAAGCCAGTCACTAGCTGTGGAGGACTGTACATTTAATTATGAACTCATGATCTCATTCCTAGAGATATGCATATACAAGCAGTGGAAGGAACTGGAATCAAGGCCATGCTAATAGCAGCAAGAACACTTCTCAAGTCTTGATTTTTAAAAACATTCTTTCTCTCCCACAGCAATCAGAGTCCTTTGGGAAGATGATAAAAATTTGCAGTGCAAAAAGTGGCAGAAGAGAGCCTCTGGGGTACAATGAGGAAAGAGGACCAGCACGCACTGCAGCTGGCTGACGGGGTTACGGAGCTTCCATCTGCCGGCAGACCCCACAAACAGCTGCAGCTCTGCAGCTGCCAGCTGCCTGCTGGTGCCATCTCCTCAGACATGGTGGGAGGAAGTGTCTGTGGCAGCTTTTAACTGAAGCAGAATCCCACAGTCTCCACCCACTAACTCCAGTCCAGGAAGCCAGCTGGGACCTCATTGGCTACTTGGCTTAGGCAGGAGAAGCCACACTGCCTAACCATTCTTGTTCTCCTGTCTCCCAACAAACTTCCAAAGCCCTGGACTCAACTGGGCATGGAGCAATTGTCACTGAACTCTGTTCTGACTCAACAGACAGCAAGCAATCATGTTACCAGAAGTGATCAGAGCCAGTCAGCGTGATCTCCAGAGTACAGAGCAGATCCTGTGCATCTCACAACTGCAGGTATTCTAGGCATACAGCCGGATGCTGTACTCATTCTGTGAGACATGGGGTGGGGGGGGAGTCCCTCAGGTTCTTGGGGCCAGCATCAAAAGCCAAAACCCATAAAATTTCAAACCCGACCTGAGGAAGTTTCCTCTGCTTCTCCTGACTCATGGTAGGGAGTAACCCGGGCACGCACAGCAGCATCACTCCTGCATGCTATTTCAGAACTGAGAGCAGCTCCATTTCTGCTACTGAGGTCCAGGAATAGAGATGTTACCATCTTTGGAAAAGCTCACAGTCACTTCCAGTATCTGGAATGCTCTTCTACATTATTCTGTTTCAGGCAGGTGGCTATTAGCACCCCAACAAAAGGTTCGCACACTGGGAGGAAGGAGTAATGACCCCAAAGGATCCTGCAACACCAAGACTGTAATAGTTATTAACCACTTCATCAAATTCATCGGATCTAGCAAGGGGGCCTAGGAAAAAATACTGCCTGAATTCCACCTCTACAAACCAGTATCTATAGTGCAAATTCTGTAAACCTTACAGTCACCTTTGCAGGACTGAAGCAGGATTTAGTTCTTTATCCTGGGACTAGGGTTTGTGTATTATAACCTGCAGCATGAACTTCACTCTCCCAGGACTTGGGGAGAGTTCCAAGAACATCACACAATCCTTGGGCCACTGTTACAGGTGCCAGAGTCTCAGCAGCGCTCAGGCTGGGCAGCAGGACAAAGGAACAGTTTCACATCTTGCAGTGTTAATCACGAGGCCCTGGCTAAGACAATCCCCAGTGTAACTAACATCCAACTCTGTGGACTGAAGGTACTCACCCCGAAAACCATATTCCCCTCTAGTCCAAGTCCTGCTGCAGACCAGACTACTGCGTCACAGACAGAAACAGCTGTCAGTGACTAAAGCAAAAGAAATCACTCAGAGGTTATATATTTGGGCTCGCCTAGAACCAAAGCCAAAGCAATAAGCCAAGTGATAGGCTGCAAACCATCTACACCATAAAGTCTTCAAATAAACTTACTGCGTAAAGAAGGAACTATTACACCAAATCATAGATGTCAATGTAGGGATACCAGAAACACGAAGAATCAGTGTAAGCCTGACACTTGCAATGAACATTGTTGTTCTCTAGAAAGAGAACCCTATGTGAAGGCAATCAAGTATAAAACAGTGATTGAAACTCAATTGTGATAGAACAGAACACAGCTCAAAGAAACGAGGAAAACAATCGATGCCATGAATGAAACACTCACTAAGGAGACAGAAATCTTCACAAAGAACCAAAGAGAAATTTGGGGGTTGAAAACTTCAATCATTGAAGTAAAAAAAAAAAAATGTGACTGAGCGCTTTAACAAGTTAAGCAAACAATTTCTGATCTTGAGGATAGAATTCTGAAACAACCCAACACAAAGACATAAAGAGAAAAGAATAATAACAATGAAGAAAGCCCATGCAAAGTATGGGATGCTATTTATAAATCAAATACAGCATTATAAGGAATCCTGAAGGAGAAAACTAAAAACACATTATGAAAAATATTCTTTCATGAAAAAAAACCTTAGGCACAGAAGGAACATTTCTGAACACGATCAAAGCAATGCATGATAAATCCACAGCCAGCATATTACATATTACAAGGAAAAAGGTTTGAAGCATTTCCACTAAGATCCAGAACCAAAGATGCCCATTTAATCATTAATACTCAGTATAGCTTTTAAAGTTTTAGCTAGACCCAACAGACAAGAAAAGTCAAACTATCCCTGGTTGCAGATGACATGGTACTATATAAGGTGAATCCAATGACTCCACAAGGACTATTGAAGCTTTAAAAAGATTATTAAAGCTGCAGGGAATCCAACCAACACAGAAAAATCAACAGCCTCTGAATACCCCAGAAATATCATGGCTGAGAAAGAACCTGTAAGATCAGCACCATTTGCAACAGCTACAAACATTCTAAACATTTTGAAATAAATTTAACCAAATATGTGAAAAATCTCAACAGTGAAAATGGCAAGATACTGAAGAAATAAACAGAAAACACACAAAAAATTAAAGAACATTCCATGTTCAGATTGGAAAATATCATTAAGATATCCACACTATGCAAACCAATTTACAGATTCAATGGGATCCCATTGAAAATACCAAGAATATTCTTCTCAGATCTAGAAAGAAGTGCTAAAAATCATATGGAAACACAAGAGACCCAGAATAGCTAAAGCAATTTTTAAAAGCAACAACAATGCTGCAGGCATCAAAACACCAGAGTCTAAGATATACAGGGCAGTTATAATGAAAACATCCCCAGACTAGGAAAAAGACATGTAGGGCCTGGCACAATAGCTTAGTAGCTAAATCATTGCATGCAGTGGGATCCCATATGGGCGCCAGTTCTAATCCCAGCTGCTCTAATTCCCATCCAGCTCCAAACTTGGAGCCTGGGAAAGCAGTAGAGGACAGCCCAAAGCCTTGGGACCCTGCACCCTTGTGGGAGACCCAGAAGCAGCTCCTGGCTTCAGATCAGCTTAGTTCCAGTCATGTGGCCACTTGGGGAGCGAACCAGTGGACAGAAGATCTTTCTCTCTGTGTCTCCTTCTCTGTTGATCTGCCTTTCCAATAAAAATGAGTAAATCTATGAGAGGGACAGACGGAGAGAGAGGGAGAGAGAGAGGGAGAGAGAGAGGGAGGGAGAGAGAGAGGGAGAGAGACAGACAGACAAGTAGATCTATGAAACATGCAGAAACCTCAGAAATTAAACCACACACCTAAAAGCAACTAATATTTGACAAATGAGCCAAAATCAATCCCTGGAGAAATAACAGTGTCTTCTACAAATGGTGCTAGAAAAGCTGGACCTATGTCTGTACTAGCACAAAGCAAGGCTCCTACCTTACACCTCACACAAAAATCAACTGACAATCGATCAAGGATCTAAATGTATGACCTGATACCATCAAAGTACTAGAGGAAAACATGGAGGAAGCTGCAAGGTGTTGATATAGCCAAAGACTTCTGGGAACAGACCCCAGAACCAAGGCAATAAAAGCAAGAATCGAAGAATGGAATTATACCAAGCTAAGGAGTTTCTGCTCTGCAAAGGAAATACTGAAAGTGCAGGGCAAGGGACATGCTCAGGCATTTTTTGATTCTGAAGAATGAAATATAAACAGCAACAGATACATGAACAAAAATGCTTAGGGAAATACAAAGTAAAACAATGGGGTTTAACCTCCCCACAGTACAGTGACCACCACCCCCAAACCAGAAATTAATAAATGCTGGGAGGATATGCAGTACAATGCACCCTAACCCATGGCTGCGAGGAACGTAAACCAGCACAACCATTTTGCAGGATACCATGGAGATTCCTCAGAAATCTAAGGACACAGAACACACCCCAACAGCCATCCCACCCCTGGGAATTTGTCCAAATGAAGTCAGCATGACAGTTATTTGTACCCCCATGTTTATACAGCTCAACTCACAGCAGCCAAGATATGTAATCAACCCATATACCCATCAATAACTGACTGAATAAGGAAAACGTGGTATACGTACACTATGGATCCTGTTCAGATACAAAAAAAACTAAGTCCTGCCTTTCCAACAAGATGCAAGCAACTAGAGACTGTACACTTAGTGAAATCAACCAGTTCCCAAAAGACAAATATGTTTTCTGCTAGTATTGTATTAACATACAATACAAAAAAATGTATAAGGACATTTTGTGATTTGATTGTTTTAATCTTTGTTTCTACTCCTGTGGAACTAAGGTCTTTATACTTTTTAGTCCTTGAATGTTAATGTTAGTGGTGCATTAAGCCTGCAACTATATAGCGGACTGAAGTTATGTTTTTTCACAAATAAAGAGGGAAGGATGGAAAAAGGAGGTTGATGGAGTGGGGCAGCTGGGACACAAACCAGCACCTGTATGGAATGCCAGTGTGTGCAAGGCAAGGGCTTTAGCCACTAGGTTACTGTGCTGGGCCTGTTAAGGAAAATTTTAAAATGATATACTATTACAGATTTTATACTCTGTGATTACTTTAAAATACACTGTATATCAATAAAACTGGCATATCTTCATTTGATTTTGCTTCCCTATATTCCTGCTGAGCTATGGCCTTTTTTATTATTATTTTTTACTAATCTTAGTTGATTAGAGTACAAGCTATGGCCTTTTTATTTTTCCTTCCTTAGCTCTTTGTTTAGTCTAGCATTAAGCCTTTGATAATGCAAATTAAAAATGTTCTCAATTTTAAAAAAAATTTTCCATGATACAGTTTTGTAGGTACAGAAATTCCCCTTCTACTTTCCTTCCCTCTCTTCCCATTCTCCCCTTCAAAAAACAGTAAGTTTCTAAATTTAAAGTTTTTAAATATATTATCTGTATTCGGTTTATACTAACAAAAAACACAGCTTAAATAAAACATACTGAAACAGCTCAATCTTACCCAATAGTTGAGTTCAGATACTCCAAATTTTTGAATTTTACATCTATGTAGAATTATTGCCTAAAATGCACATCAGAAAAATAAAATTAACATTCATTCTTTGCAAATATATGAATTGCTCATTTAAAAATGACTTGGTCATCTTCTTTTTTTCTCTAACATTAGCCGATTTCCACCTCAACTACTGATTTTTCCAATTGTGAGCCTGGCAACTTCCCCCAGTTTGAGAGTTCGAGGCTTTGTGCACCAGCAAGTTGCTCCTTCCATCAAGATAATCCCTGAGTTATTCTGCTTTTTGCTGCAGAGTGGACTCCTCTAAACTGTGGGTGTGATGTGTGGGTGGCATGTGTATTCATACGAAGGCAGTCAGGAAGTGTATGGAAAATGTATCTTAAGAAGTATGTGTATGTGATTTAAACTTCTTTTGCAGCAAAATATCCTTAAATTTTAGTTTTATTTTTCCCATAACTTTCTGACGTGTTCCTCCTGCACTGAATGAGGAGAGCACCAATGGCTGTGGGTCTGCACAAGGCAGCAAGCTGGAGTTGAGACTCAAGAATAAAGTCAGGTTCCTCAAAATTATCTCCTTCATGGTGTTGTATCTTTCCAAAAATCATCTACTGAGGCTTTAACTCGCAGGGTAACTGGAAGGTAATTAGATGGCAAAGGAGGACTCTCACAAAGGGAGCGTTAGTGACCTTGACCTTGTGAGGGTCAGAGAGAAATGTTCTCTCCGCCTCCCACCTTGCGAACATACAATGAAAACCACTTCTGTCTGCAAACCAGGAAGGAACCTAACTGGCTGGCACCTTGACTTTGGGCTTCCCTATACCAAAACAGTGAAAAAAAAAAGTCTGATGCTTGAGACAGCCACTGCAACGTTTTGTCAAAGCATCCCACCAAATGCTAATACAGTGGAAATACTGATGTCAAAGGATGTGCAAAGATACTTCTTGAGGGTCAAGAGAGAATTGCGGAGCAAGGATTCTCAAGTTCAGTGACCCAGGTTCTTTAGCAAATGTGTTTTGTATGGAAATCTTAGATAAAAAGAAACTTAAGTCATGAAACTGACAAAATGCAAGGAAATGCTTACACTAGTCAAGGCAGTCAAAGTGTCTCTCAGCGTTAGAACTGTTGTTTGGCAGTCTAAGGATGTGTACTAAATAATAGTTTTGAATCAGTAATGGTCAGTACTAGTCAGTATCCAACCAGCACTTTAAATATTTGTTTTGTACGGTTTCCTGGACCTGTGCTTTATTTCAAAACAAGTTTTTTTTTTTTTTTAATAAAAAGGTGGATGAGCACACTATTAGGAATTCTCCACTTGTAATGCACACAATTTTCACAATATGCTGAAAAGAAACAGTGTATATTTTTTGGGAAAAGAAAGAGAGGAGGGGCAATTCCTATGAGACAAAAGGACTTGGGAAGCAAAAACATTAACACGGAGGCAATACCGAAGGATCCGATCGGCCCCTCACACATGGGGGAGTGTGTGCGTCGGCATTACTACAGCTGCTATCCTCACTGAGCTATGTGGGAGGAGGTAGGGAAGAAAATTTCTGCTTCTGACTTATAGGTATTAGAAGTGTGACTACAAAGTAATGATTTATGAAACCACTAACCCTAATACATATCCAGGTGCGTGTCACCTGATGAGTCAGACATGTGCACAGACTACACAGTTATTCCAATGATTTTGCCACCACTTAGAACATGTCAGAAACTCCTCCTAAACACTTTCCAAACTGCCTGCACAGATAACTCTTGTCCCCAAAGAAAATCAGTATTACTACTAAGTATCACAGTCTTATTTTAAGACTTATTTGTAAGAGTTATAAGGGGAGAGAGAGAGAATCACACTACTTCAAAAACCTACTTGTTTGAGAGACAGACAACAGTCAGAACTCCAACCACTGGTTCATTCCTCATTTACCCGCAATGGCTGAGGCTGAGCTGGGAGTCAGAAACGTAATTGAGCTTTGTCACGTACTGAACTCAATTCCTTGCACATTCTCAATTGCCTCCCAAGGTCTCCACTGGCAGGAAGGTGGAGTCAGGAGCTATAACTGGGAATTAAACTCAGGTTGCTCTGATATGAGTAACCACTAGGTTAATTGTTCCCAAGCCATATTTTAATCCATGTCTGTACTACCCCCACCCGATGGCCCACTTCACTCATAAGATGTTTGTTTCCAAAGATCAAATGTACTCTTGAAGGATGAGGAGCTAGGGGCCAATGTTGTGTGTTAGTAGATTAAGCCGCTACCTATATTGCCAGCATCCATGAGAGCCAACAGCTTGAGGGTCTGCTGCTCCACCTCAGATCCAGCTGCTCAACAGCATACCTGACAATGCAACAGAAAATGGCCCAAGTGCTTGGGTCCCTGCACCCCACGTGGGAAACCTGGATGTTCCAGGCTTTGACTTCAGCCTGGTCCAGCCCCAGCTTTTGTAGCCATTTGTAAAGTAAAATAGTGAATGGAAGATGTCTCTTTTTCTGTAATTCAGTCTTACAATAAGTAAATCTTTAAAATAAGTATTAAGGCTTACCACCACTGAAGATATTATAAAGAGTACTCCATAACCTGTGAAGGCAATTCTCAGGGCTCCCCAAAATGTTGAGATATTTTTAAAGCCAACCCTAATACCTTATGCTCATTTAAAAATATTTAGTTGTTCAATTACTCAAAAAGGAGGAGTTTGTACTGTATTGTTTTCCAAAGATGAGGCAGAAAACACTTTATATGGTGAGTGACACCCTAGAAAGGGCTCCGACTTCCTCTCCCATTCCTGCACTAGAGGCAAACCTGCTATTGGACAGGTTAAAAACAATTTTAATGAACTTAACTAACACTTACCCATGTCATTAACAAAGATGAAGAATAATAAGAAGATAAGTACATTGGATTTCCAAACATCAGAATGAAACAAAGAAGAACTGAAATCTGAAAAATGAAAAGCAAGCAAATATTTTACAGTAATGATAAAAAGTAACATTTTTTTCTATGTTTCAATAATGGAATACCTAGTTTCCATATTGGTTTCTGTAATCACATTTTTATTGTATTACTGGAGATTTCACTCAGGAAGTTTTTTTTAAATTATCTTTCTATGTTTTTAAGGAAGATGTTTTTAGGAACTAAGACAAAAGCAAAAAGGTAACAACAAAATTTCAGCAGTATCATATTCATATAAAGTTAAAAAGTCTGAGGTTGGGGGGAGAAATTGCAATTTCAAGAATAATGCAATAATGAGATACAGAACAATGGCATAGCACATCTTGCCTCCAGTTGAAAGCGTCATCTGTTTGCTTTGGTCTTTGTGCTGTTCATCTCCAGGTCTGTCTGTCATCATCAGTGCCATATATAGTAAGCACTGCTACAAAGCAAGTGCCCCATAAATCAGCAGTTTCATAAACTCTAGAAATGTATCTTAATATCTTACTTATAGATATTAGTAATGTTACCATGTTCATATAAATGATCTTCTGAAATTTGCTTGGTTCAATGTATCCCACAACATACATGGGAAATAATGAAGCTATCTGAAATGAAAACAGAAAAAAGTGAAAGTGAAAAAGTTGTAGAAAAGCAATACTTGCCCAGTTTTAGGAAAGGTGAATTTAAAAGGTATTCATAATAATCTGTATTCATAATAATAGTAAGGAAAATACTTTAAACCAACCGTTTCAGTGACAAATACAATAGTATTTTTTTCTAAAAGATTTATTTATTTTTATTGCAAAGTCAGACATACAGAGAGGAGGAGAGACAGAGAGGAAGATCTTCCATCCGATGATTCATTCCCCAAGTGACCGCAACAACCGGTGCTGTGCCAATCTGAAGCCAGGAGCCAGCCTCTTCCAGGTCTCCCATGTGGGTTCAGGGTCCCAAGGCTTTGGGCCACCCACCACTGCTTTCCCAGGCCACAAGCAGGGAGCTGGATGGGAAGCGGGGTCACTGTGATTAGAACCAGCACCCATATGGGATCCTGGTGCATTCAAGGTGAGAACTTAAGCCACTAGGCCACTGTGCCGGGTCCAAATAGACTAGTTTTAAGTGAAATATTTAAAAACACATATGATAGGGCCCGGCGCAGTGGCGCAAGTGGTTAAGGTCCTTGCCTTGCACGCCCGGGATCCCATATGGGCGCTGGTTCTATCCCGGCAGCCCCACTTCCCTTCCAGCTCCCTGCCTGCAGCCCGGGAAAGCAGTCGAGGGCGGCCCAAAGCCTTGGGACCCTGCACCTGTGTGGGAGACCCGGAAGAGGCTCCTGGCTTCGGATCGGCATAGCATCGGCCGTTGTGCTTACTTGGGGAGTGAATCATCGGACGGAAGCTCTTCGTCTCTGTATATCCGCCTTTCCAATAAAAAAATAATTAAAAAAATAAAAATCTAAAAAAAAAAAAAAGAAAATACAAGGTCTCATGTGCAAGCTTGGAGAAAGGGTTCAAGAAAGAAATGACACAGAAAAATTAGTGTTGCTATACAAAAAAGCAAGATGTTATAAAATAATGTTTAAAAATAAGTATGTTAGGGGCTGGCATGGTAGCCTAGCTGCTAAAGTCCTCGCCTTGCACACACTGGGATCCCATATGGGTGCCGGTTCTAATCCTGGCTACCCCCTTCCCATCCAGCTCCCTGTTTGTGGAGTGGGAAAGCAGTCAAGGACATCCCAAAGCCTTGAGATCCTGTAAACATGTGGGAGACCTGGAAGAGGCTCCTGGCTTCGGATTGGCTCAGCTCTGCCCACTGCAGGTGCTTGGAGAGTGAATCAACAGATGGAAGATCTTTCTCTCTCTCCTCTCTGTATATTTGACTTTCAAATAAAAATAAAATAAATCTTTAAAAATAAAAAGTTATGTATGTATATGAGTATATTCATAAACACACTATACAAATGTATATAAATATACACATGTAAATACATATATAGACACATACAATGGTACTTCAGCCATAATGAAAATGAGCTAAACTGTTTTAAGGTCCTTACTTTACCTGGAAAGAAGTAAAGAATAGTCATTTACAAAGGACTTCCTAAATCAAGGATAAAGGCTTTTGCTTCTAGGGTGCACAATGAAAGAATGAAAGTAAGAATGTGAAAGTAAAGCAGAGAGAAGGAATGATAGAAGCAGATAACCACTGACGGGAAAGAGGGTCCGAACATCACGGGGCAGAAAGAGCAAAGACAACGCAGCTGCCTTAGTAAAACGAGGGCTTCAAAACCACATTTATCAATGATTCATGGAGGGATTACACGAGCTAATGAAAAGATAGTCTTTAAAAATTCAAGGCAAAAAGTACTAACTAAACACTGCTGATAAAGCAATGCATAAGGATACCAAAATGCTGACTACTAAAGAATGGCAAAAGATTCAGCAAACACTGACAAAAGGTCATGAAGCAATTAAAGAAAAACTTTGAGAATATAAACAGGCATATTTCCTAGAAATTAAAGGTATACTTTACAATTGTGGATTTAATACTGCATTAAATGCTCAAGAATCTAAAGCACTAAAAACAGATATAAACAAATCAACTGTTTAAATGAGAGACTTAACACACTTAGCTTTTAGTAACTAAAATAAGCCAGCAAAAAATGTAGAAATCTAGAAGATTTAAATGACACAATAACAGCATTTAATTAACATACATAAAACTTTATCCCAACAAACATAAAATACCCAATGCTTTAAGATGCATTAATAAGAGAAAGTGCCTGGGGACAAGTCTAATGAAGGAGCGATTAAATCTGTTCTAAAAGGTTCTGATTGAGAGAAATTAAACTCGATCTAAAACTAGTACACATCACTTTCTTTGGCTGGAAGACACAGTATTTCAAAAATGCTGGTATTTTGTAATAAAATGACATGTTATTATATTGGAAAGGAAAACGTATTTAACTGCTAATACTTCTAGCTAAGTTTTGAGAGAAACAGGTTCAAGACAGATTTTAAGGGGCACTACTACAAAAAATACAGTTTTAGTCTTAGTCTTGAGTCTAGCTCATTTAATCAAATAGTGGTAGACACAAAGAGGTTCATAAGTTCATCTTGTGAGGAAAATGAAACACTGACACTAATTATGGGAAATAAATGAATTTTTATACAGGACCGCAACTGGGTAAGAGGACAGAATGAACACATCTGCTTTCAACGATGCTCTTTAAAACCTATTCTACGAAAACCAGAGAGAGAGCTCTGTGACATCAACAGGGAGCCAAATGAAACAGAGCACACTTTAAACGTAGAGCACCGACTCACGCCGTGGAGGCGACTGGCAGCCAGCAGCGCAGCTGCTTAGCAGAAATTCTCACTTCCAGGGCAGACCAGTTTTATGGTCAGAGTGTGTCAGTTGGGTGGAAACCAGCTGTAACAGAAAGTCAGCATCACGAACACTTAAACTACATGTTCACTCCCTGCTTCCCTTGAGCAATTTCTTGCTGTTAGATTTTTAGTTATTTTGGACACAGGGATGTAGTCTCAGTTTATTCAAGCAGTATTACGGCTAAGACTCAGAAAAATATTTCTCAATATTAAGTCTGCTTTCCAAGATAAATCAGCCAACATTTAGCTGGGTTAGAAACAGAAACCCCTTGGCAGCCAGCCAGATTCATACAACAGAAAAAAAAAAATTTTTTTTTACAGGTGCAGAGACAATCAACCACCAGAAAAATCTGTGAATAAAACTAATGGCATATATCTTTTACATTTTGATCATTAGTATCTGTTAAACAAATGATATGCTAGTAGGATGCAGTTGCATTATTTTCCAGCTCACTTAAACAGTTCTGGAAAACAGTATACATGAGATGCACACGTGTATACAGACGCGCAGTTTGTCCTTTGCGCATATTCATAACCAACGCTCAAATTAAGAACAAAATATTCCCCGTTTCTCCTTCTCTCTGTGTATCTGCCTTTCAAATAAATAAATCTTTAAAAAGAGAACAAGACATCACTCAGACCCCCAAGTCCCTCTTATCCCCCGTCTTCATTTTTCTTTTGTTTTTAACATGGGAAGAGAGAGTATATTGTCATTTATACAGTAAAGCAGCATTTATAGCTAGATATCAAATGACATCACCTCTACACAATTTTTTATACTCTGTTAACTTCCACAAATAAGAGAAAACATGGGATATTTGTCCTTCTGTGCCTGGCTTATTTAGCATAATGATCTCTAGCTATCCTATTCCTGGTAATATATCCAAAGGAAATGAAATAAACACATGAAAGTAGATACCTGAATTCCCATGTTTACAGCAGCTCACTACACAAAAGCAAAGATATGGGACTCAATCTAGATGTCTGCCCTGCTGACTAGAAACAGAAAATGTGGCATGCATTCATGATGGAATACCAGCCATAAACAGTGGAATCCTGACATTTGCAACAAAATAGATTTACTGGAGAATACATTTTTAAATCACTCATTTACACAAAATTTATGCCATTATTGCAAAAAATCTTCTAAGGTAATCATTCTTCAAAACGGTAGAAACAAACAAGTCCCACTGCACTCAGTATGGGCAATTTAAACATCATCTTACCTGTGTGAAAAGTATAAACTGAGCAAACTGCCAGGGAAGCATGAACGCGACGTTGGAAGCGCAGAGAGCAATATAAAGATTTTTATTGTTGCTTGAGTTCGTGGTCCTTACCGGAGAGAATTGAACCAGTAAGTTTTAGCATCAAAAAAGCCTATCACCAAAAACAGACTAACCGCAAAATGGTGAACAGCTAAAACAATCCTCTTAGCTTTCACATAACACTGCAAAATTACTTTAATTAAACTTAAAAATACTTCAACACTAAGAATGTCTAGCAGGGGCCAAACGCTGTAGTTCTGTGCTTTAGCTGCACCTGCGACACATGCATCCCACAACAGTTCTCACTTCAGTCTTGCCTGCTCCCCTTCCCATCTAGCTGCTGGCTCCTCCGCCTAGGAAAGCAGTGCAAGACACTCCCAGTACGCATGCCCGCTGCAGTTCACTGGAGCACTGGACGGATTCCAGGTGCCTGGCCCTGCCTGGCCCTGCCTGGCCCAGCCCTGGCCCTGCCTGGCCCTGCCTGACCTTGCCTGGCCCGGCCCTGGCCCTGCCTGGCCGTGCCTGACCTTGTCTGGCCCAGCCCTGGCCCAGCCCTGGCCCTGCCTGGCCCTGCCTGGCCCTGCCTGACCCAGCCCTGGCCCTGCCTGACCCAGCCCTGGCCCTGCCTGGCCCTGTCTGACCCAGCCCTGGCCCTGCCTGGCTCTGCCTGACCCAGCCCTGGCCCAGCCCTGGCCCAGCCCTGGCCCTGCCTGACCTTGCCTGGCCCAGCCCTGGCTGTTGTAGCCATTTGGGGAGTGGACCAGCAGATGGATGATTACCGTCACTCTTTCTTTCAAATAAATAACTGAATAAATCTTTTAAGAAATAATTCTAGCAAAAAAAATTACCCTAAAAACTAAAAAAATTACAAACATAAAAACAGTTCATAAAAACATAATTTGTCAATAGAATATTAACATTGAAGTTGTTTTCCTCAAAGTATGCATGACAACAAAATTTAATTCTCTAGCAAGCAATACTGAAAACAGGAAATGATGCTAACCCCTCATGAATATAATCTTAAGTGTAAAAACTATAGTTTTCTATATCACTGTTTCAATCTCACAAAACAGAGTTTAACAATGAAGGAATAAGTTAAAAAGGGGAAAATATAAAACAAATTAAGCATAAACAGTAACCCTGAAACAAAGTTAAGCTGTTTTATGTTAAAATTTTAATGTCCATTCAGCAATCCTGAGATAGGCTGATAACCAACAACTCGGAGACCGTTCTAATCAAGACATTGCACTCCATGAAATAGCCAGATTAATATCAATTCAAAACAACGAAAAAAATTAGTTGTTCTAAACAGTGAAGGCAAAGAAAGGGTACTCTCCTTTGCCACATCTGAGACAAGGTGATATATACAGCAAGGGCTTTCAGGTAGCGTATTTCCAATCCAAATTCTACCTGAAAACATGCTTCCAATAACAAGATCCTTCTCAAGATCTGTTGCTACCACAATCCACCATTCCTTACTTCACTCAATCAGCTAGCAAATGCATGTCTCATAGAAAATATTTGGGGTTAAAGAAATAGCCCAGGTGTGGAGGCCAACTTGACCCCTGGCTGCTCCATTTTTGATCTAGTGAATGTACCTGGGAAAGCAGAAGTTGATCCAGTTGTTGGGCCCCTGCACCCACATGGGCGCCCTGGATGAAGCACCTGGCTTCCACCTGCCCCAGCTCTTCTGGTCATTTGGGGAGTGAACCAGTGTATGGAAGATCTCTCTCCCTCCTTAACTATGCCTTTCAAATCAATAAAACAATAAATCTTCAAAAAACAAGCAAAACATGGCAGGGTCCCTATTTAGACTGGCACTTGAAACACACAGAATTATGCACGTATACACTTGTGTTTGTGTACATGGTTCATGACTTCACTTTAAGAAAAAAAAAGTACACAAATAATTTCTGTATAAAGTTGAATCTACCAAGGACTTAAAAAATGGATCAGGGCTTGGAGGAAGTAATAACCATTATTTCACCCAGTGAGACATCTATATGGAAGTCGATCTTATGATAAAGATTTCACAACAGTATACTGTGGGATTTTGGGTTGTTTTGTCTCTGAAGTTTCTGGAATGCTTAGAAAACTACCACCAAAATTATCACACACACACACACACACACACACACACACACACACACACCTAGCTCAGCAGAAACCTGATTGTACTGCTATAAACATCAGGCTTTCACAAAGAAGTGGATATGTATAATTTTATCTTTAATTATTAACACAGTAGTTCTCAAATTCTCATGCACTCAGGATATGTTTTTATGGAGAATAAATTAATGCTCTATCAAACGCACAGGCTGGAAATGATAGTACATAATCTTTTAATGGAAAAACTAAAAAATTTCCAATCTTTGCAAACTGTATGTACAATTTTAACATGTACATTTTGATCTGTTAAAACATAAGATAGCTATTTAGAACCTATAGTCCAGACTTTTAAAAAAAAAATCAAGCAATGTTTACACAGTAGTTTTAGATTATTTCTTAACTCTATAACTCCATTTTCAAAATAATTTTCAAAATAAAGCATTTGGTAACTGCAACATAGCAAGGCAAAACATTTTAGGAAACTTACATGAACTACAGAGATACTTGTTTTTTAATAAACCAAACTTACCTGAGAATCATAGTTAAAATCCACATCTGCAGTACCAGGAACGGATACGAGAAGCTTTCACGGAGAGGCGGGGTCCACATCACACGGGTGGCCTAAAATTAACAAAAACATCATGTGCCTTTACAATAAGCAGTGACGTCAAAACTAGTGAAAGGTCTAATACTTTTTTTTTGTTAAAGATTTTTTCTTTATTTTTATTGGAAAGTGAGATATACAGAGGAGGAGGTGGAAAGACCTGTCCACTGGTTCACTCCCCAAATGGCTGGAGCTGAGCCAACTGGAAGCCAGGAGCATCTTCCAAGTCTCCCACTTGGGTACTAGAGCCCAAGGCTTTAGGCTGTCCTCCATTGCTTTCCCAAGCCACAAGCAGAGAGCTGGATGGGAAGCCAGGCAGCTGGGATTAGAACTGGCACCCATCTGCGATCCTGGCGCATGCAAGGCAAGGACTTTAGCCACTAGGCTACTGTGCCAGGCCAGGTTCAATGATTTTAATTTTAGACTTAATAGGCTCTATTTTGGAATACATGGCATGTCATATCAGTTTTTAAAGTTTTCTTAATGCAAATGATCATTGGATAGATTGTGATTTACTACCAAGCATAGAAAAAAATGAAAAGTCTGAGGAAACTTCAGGTAGTTCTTACAAGAAATTGAATTAATTTAACTAGAGCTGGTATAATGGCTCCATCTGCTAAATGCCTGCAAGCACCTACACCTCATAAGGGTACTGGTTTTTGTCCTGACTACTCTGCTTCCCATCCAGCTCTCTGCTTGTGGCCTGGGAAAGCAATGGAGGACAGCTCAAAGCCTTCTTCCAAGTGGGAGACTTGGAAGAAGCTCCTGGCTTCCAACCAGCTCAGCTCCAGCCATTTGGCCATTTGGGGAGTGAACCAGAGGATGGAAGACCTTTCTGTGTTTGTTTATCCTTCTCTCTCTGTAACTCTGTCTTTCCAACAAAAACATTGAAAAAAGTTTATTTTAGTAAAAGATTCAAATCTATTCATACTTTTTACAACATGCATTTTCCATGAATTTTTGAAGCCCTTCAATCAGATCAAGCATGTTCAAAGAGGAAACTTCATCATCACATTAAAACATTGATGTTTAATGCATTGGTGTTCCTTAAAATATTTAAGGTATTCTATGCATAGTCTTAAAAATTAACCTATTAGCAGTGTCTTACATATTTTGCTTCCAAAAGCTAGCAGTCACATTCTATCATCATCTCACATTTCACTGTCATATCCTCAGATTCCAACACAGAAATCTAGCATACGCTACACCTTCAATATTGTGTTGGATGAATATCACAGATCTTAAATAACTTTTTATAAACTCTTTTTACATAAATGATGCTCCCTTGGGCTGAATCAGTAAGTTAAATTCTATTTTAATTTCAGTGTTTTGTGTTACTTGAAAAGGCAGCACAATCTAGGAGGCAATGCCTTCCCTGTAGGCATGCTGCAGGCCTGGGGTCTCCTCTTAGCTCATGCTGGGGAGGGGCTCTGTTTGCAGGATGAGCAAGTTCTAGAAATCTGATTTATACAACAGCGTTAATCATGCTGCCATCATACATCTAAAAATCTGTTAAGAAAGCTGATTTCACATTAAGTGCTCTTAACACCTTTTCTAAGGTCAATATGTATTTTAAAAGAAGCAAGGTATTAGAACCTTATAGGTACAGAATTAGAAACCCAGTTTCTTCACATATTGAGCATGGAACCTTGACGAGGTAACCTGAAGTCTCTAAACAAACTTCAATTTCCTAACCTGCATGACCAGGATAACAACCAACTCCAAAGAAAGGAGTACACAGGATCATGAACCTCAAGGGTGTGAACTCAGCCAGCACAAGGCTTCGTTCTTGGCTACAGAGTATCTAAATGTCAGTGTTTCACTAAAAACCACGCAAGATATTTCACATGCTTTAGAGTTGTTTAAATTTTTAACATATCAACTTCTAAGAGTTTTTAAGATATTGCAGTGCCATAAAATATGCATCAACATATTGTTCCAATGAGTGGATTCTTTTGTTATTTTGCAGCCTCTTATTATTCTCTAAAAATTATCTTCTAGATAACAAACCTCTCCATGGTTGAAAAAGTAGCACATTACTGTAATTAGACCTCCTAGCTGAGTCCCACTGTTAAAAAAAAAAGTATACAATCATAACTCAGGCAAAATATAGTTTTCTATAAAATTACCTCAGACTTTAAAACCAGATTTTCATATTTAAAACATAATAGTACTATACCATGTAGTAGCAAAAATGTTCAAAAATGTCAAAAACACCTATCCAGTTTTGTAATCTTAAATGTACAAGCATAAGCAAGAAAAAATTTTAAGAAAGAAAAAGAAGCATATATAACAACCTAGATTTCACAATCCACATTTATTTTCTAAATAAACCACTTAAGATACAGACCTGCGATATCATTTACCAAATGGGCTGCCACTTGGGAGCTTATTTTGCGTCCCTTAAATATTCTGATTGCAGCCAACTTTCTCCCGACACCTTCCCTCATACTCTCCCTGTACAGCCCACCATATTCACAGCACAGAGGACAGATTCCCCACCTGCCCCATCCACCACTGTACCCCACCTGCCCCATCCACCACTGAACCCCACCTGCCCCATCCACCACTGAACCCCACCTGCCCCATCCACCACTGAACCCCACCTGCCCCATCCACGACTGCATCCCCACCTGCCCCATCCACCACTGTACCCCACCTGCCCCATCCACCACTGTACCCCACCTGCCCCATCCACCACTGAACCCCACCTGCCCCATCCACCACTGTACCCCACCTGCACCATTCACCACTGCATCCCCTAGGTCACAGTTTGAAGATAATCAAGAAATGAATGAAAACTGAGTTCTTTTAAAAATACAAGCAGGGGAAAGCTAATGAGAAATAACTTACTATTGATAGATTTTCACTGAAGAAATTCAAAGGATGTATTTCAAAAAGAGGAAATTAGAAATTGAAAGGAGGATGTATGAGAAGCTTGGTTATACCTAAATACCCATTTGATTAGAATCTAATAAATGTATTTAAAATTCCAGAACGCTGTAACTAATTAGAGAGACTATCACTTCTCGGTTGCCCTTCCACAGAGGGGAGAAAAAAAAAAAACAATTCTCATCTTAAAAAGGCTTAGTCATTGCTGTGTAGCATACCATTTTAAAAAATGAGAAAGTAACACTACAGACTATTTTCAAAATAAGACATGTTAAGCCCATGAAAACAGTGTCAAAGCAATCGTTTTCCTTTAAAACACTATAACAAGCTACCATGTAATTTTGTATATATATCATATAGAAAAGCACATAGATGTTCTGGTTTGCAGAACCATCACAAAACACAACCACAAAGCTACCCAACAGAAAACGATTGCATCCTAGTCCCTACTTGCCATCACTCCTCCAAGAAAGCCACCATCCTGATTTCTGAGTTCCCAAATCTAACACAGGCACAAATTAGAATTTACTTTTAGAATTTCCTTCGTGGAAGCATGCAGTTTAGATTCTGTACTTGATTTCATACAAATTCTATTTTAAGATTACTTCACACTGATGTGTGTAGCTGTGGCCACTCATTCTCATTATTATACAGATGGTTCCTGATTCGTGATGCGTACAGATGGTTGAACTATAGCTTTAAGCCTTTACAGATATATAAAAGACACATTCCATGGAAGCCACACTCTGAATTCTGAGTTGAGTTCTTTTCTTGGACAGGAGGCACACAACACAGTTCTCTCATGATGCCAAGTTAACTGTGCTATCATGAGAGCAAGCACCTACATCATACAGTGTACACATGGTGACACTGGAGTATTATTTGTGCATCCCATAATGTCTACAAAGATGCTCATTGGGATCCATGAGATATTCACTACAAAAAGATTTTTTTGTTAGAGGATTTTGTGTCAATGAAATAACATTTGCATGGGTTTCTATCATGCTAAATTAACCCAGGCATACTCCTTTCTATTGAACACTTGTATTTTTTCCAATTTGGAATCATTACAAATAATGCTTTGAACTTATACATATTTCCTGTGTAAATGCACAAAACATATATGGGACCGTATGTGTTAAACCTGAATTGCCGAGTTAGAAGGTATCAAAATGTTTTCAACTTTACTAAATACACATCTTTTCCCAAGTAACCATACTTGTATGTCCACCTGCGGTTGAATGAAAAATCCTTTACCAATCTATCAGATGTGAAGATGGCACATCATTGTGGACTGAATCTGTTTTATTAGTAATAATGAAGGTGAGCTTTGCAAACTTTGTCCTCTGGAGTTAGAGATGCTGAGAAATGTGTGTTGATAAACACTTTGTCCTTTTCTTCCTACCAGGTTGTTCTTTTCAGTAGACTGAGGACTGTCTGCTTTTTGATTACCAGCACACCTACCACAATGCCCCTGGTCACAAAAGGCACTAGAAAAATACTGTTCAATATCATTACAATTATAAATCAAATTTCCAAATCCTACACTTATATGCTTTTCCTGTATCTGCAGTTACGTGCTTTTCAAATTATTTTCTAATTTTTTAATTTAAATTCTATTTTTTTTTAATTGGGAAGACAGATTTGCAAAGAGAAGAAGAGACAGAAAGATCTTCCATCCACTGGTTCACTCCCCGAATGGCCACAACAGCCACTGCTGAGCCGATCCAAAGCCAGGAGCCACCTCTTGCAGGTCCCTTCACACAGGTGCAGGGCCCCAAGGCCTTGGCCTCCTCCACCGCTTTCCCAGGCCACAAGCAGGCAGCTAGATCCAAAGTGGAGCAGCTGAGACATTGCACTGGCCCCAATTTTTTTATTCTATAATATCTTTTGAAGGATTGGAGAGTTCTCTTAGGTATGAATCAGATTTTTTTTCTTCATTTTTGAACTTATTGCATCTTAAGAAATTCTTTCTTAGTCCAAGTTTCTGATAATATTCTTTTATATCATAAGCCAAACATTTTATAATTTTGTCTCTAATATTTGACTTGTAATTCACTTTGGATATACAGCTACAGTTTTTCTTCGTTCCACAAACTCCCCAATTCTCCATGCTAATGGACAAGTCCCCCCACCGATCTGCAACATCCGCTCTATCACACAGTAAGTGGACATTTCTGCTTCTGGGCTTCACCCTGATCTAACGGTGGATTTGGTGATCCAGCAGTGAAATCATCTTGCTGAGGACAGCTTTACAAAACAACAGTAATTCAGAGAGCAAGGTCTCTTTTATCTTTTTCAAGAATGTCTTAAACTGTATCTGGTACTTTGCATTTCTGAGCAACCACAATATCAGTTTATAAAGTTCAACACAAAATACATTGGGTTTTGATAAACAGAGACAGAATCTAGAAATACATTTAGAGATAAACTGTCAGCTCCTAAAAACCAAGTCTTCCAACTCACAAGCATGGTGTATCTGTCCAATATTACAGATTTTCTAAAATACTTTTCAACCAAGTTTTACAATTTATCCACCAAAGTCGGATCTTTCGTCAGAATAATTTTTAGGACCTTCAAAATTTCAATGTCATTCCAAATAACATCAGTTCAGAATTTTATTTTTTTTGCTTGAGACTATGGGATAAGATATGTAACATTCAGGTATTAATTTTGGAGTCCTGAAAACAGTAACAGTATAAATTCATTTCAAGTATTTTATCCATAGACCATTTTTATTTTCTTTATGTACAATATAATCGTTGCAAACACCTATTTGTCAAATTTTCCTATCTTCTTAGTTATTTCCAGTTTTTCTCGATTTACTATATGCAACAGAATCTCAATCAGGTGCTGAATATGTTCCTAACTTTCACTGATTCTATGCTAATCTTCCTACACTGAAAACTTCCCAAATAAGAGATACAGATTTAACGAAAATTCAATAAATGTTTCTTGAAAGATGAGCTCTCTTTTAAACTTAAATGTTGTGTAGTTCAACAATAATGCTGAGGAGCTGGAGCTCTGGCTTAGCCAGCAAAGCCTCTGCCTGCAGTACTAGCATCCAATACAGATGCTGGTCCTAGACCTGGCAGATCCTCTTCTGACCCAGCTCCCTGTTTATGGTCTGGAAAAATAGCAGAGGACGGCCAAAGTCCTTGGGCCATGCACCTACATCGGAGGATCCAGTAGAAGCTCCTGGTTCCTAGCTTCGGATTGGCTCAGCACTGGCTACTGCGGCCATTTAGGGTATAAAACTGTGGACGGGAGATTGTGTTCTCCGTATCCCCTTCTCTCTTTGTAAACCTGCCTTTCAAATAAAAGCAAGAAAAGTCTATTTAAAAAAAAAACAAAAAAGTAAAAAGGGGCTGGCGCAGTAGCCTAGCGGCTACAGTCCTCACCTCGCATACGCTGGGATCCCATATGAGTGCCAGTTTGTGTCCTGGCAGCCCTGCTTCCCAACCAGATCCCTACTTACAGCCTGAGAAAGCAGTCAAAAATGGCCCAAGGCCTTGGGACCCTGCACCCACGTGGGAGACCTGGAAGAGTTTCCTGGCTTTAGATCCACTGAGTTCCAGCCATTGAGGCCGCTTCGGGAGTGAATCAATGGACAGAAGATCTTCCCCTCTGTCTCTCCTCTTCTCTGTATTATTTGCCTTTCCAAATAAATAAATATTTTTTAAAAAGTGAAGAGAGAGTAATGCTGAAATAAATAAGGTTAGATTCTGATAGGAAAGAAAACTTAAAAAAAAAAAAAGACCCAAAAACTAACAAAAATAGCTTAAACAACATGGATGTTTATCAGCCAAGAAAAAATTAAAATGAAGTTATTTTTAGCTTGGGTTTAGAACTGTAAAAAGATAGGTTACTCTACATGATTCTAGCCTCTGGTCAAATGCTGCAGATTTGGGTACCAGACTCAAGCAAAAATGGGAAAAAACAAAACAACAACTTTTTTTAATGCAGGAAAAAAAATAAAAGGGGTAACTAAATTTTTTTTTGCTTTAGTTTCTTCTGAAAAAAATCACATGCTTGCCTAAGCATAAGCAAGGCTGACTTCCTTCCATTTTTCACTGGCGAAGCTAGCTCCTGCAGCTACCCCAGGAAAGAATGAAGAGCGAGAGCCACACACATCCCTGCCATTATTCACCTCCACTTGCCCTCTCGGACAGGCACACCCGCTCAGCTACAGCTGTGCTCCTGGCACAGGAGACTGCGGATGGCAGGCAGAAGTGTCTCTCTCAAATCACACTCAGCTCCTTTTACAGCTTATTTTCGTACAGAACGTAAAAGCCGACTGCAGCTAATGCCAAGGAAGTCCTCCGATGTTTGCATCCTCTTACATGTGAGCTGGAGGCATTTTCACGAAAATCTTTGCTAAGAAAACTTAAGGTTTTTGTTTTTAAAATTTTTAAATCCCTGCAAGTTTTTTTTTTTTTAAGGGAGTGGGGAATTGCTTTCAACACATTATTTCAGGGACATCTCCTGAAAGAATGTCAGTTAAGTTTCTGAAAAAATCGAATGTACAAATTATCCTACTGATTAACATCATTTAACAAATATTAGCCAGTCTTCCTAAGCCCATTCACTATTTTTAATTCACTAGTCTTACCTCAGGTATGCACCATATAAGAAGAACAATCCCATCATTAGTCCATTTAAAATAAAAATTACAGCAACGTAGAAGCAAGCAGGGTCTCCCAGTCCTATGAAAAGACAGATGATTCAGCATTTAACGTACATGCGCTTAAATAATCCCCTGCTTTGTAATCAAGAGCTCATGAACTTGCTGGAAGCATTTCCTTTCCAGTTTGCCGCTAATAGTAACATTATTACCCTTAATGCAATTTAGTCACATATACACACCTTATACTTTAACAATTATTTTATACTTTTCCCTAATGAAGTATTAGTATAATAATATAATACTTTGTTGAGATTTCATATTAGCTTAGGTGATACTATTTGCAGAATTATTTAATGAAGTCCCAGAGAAAAGCCACACGATTGTTTTTATCTTCTGCAAGGTTCCATAATGATTAAGATATAATTGCTAACCTCAAGGAGTAGCTTCAGTTTACATTAAATAAGTTATTCCAGGTCATTATCATGTATGGCTAAGTGGTAATATATGCACATTCAACATACAAGACTATTTCTGTGTAGTACTTACTATGTATTTTGTAATCATCTCAAAATTTTAAAGAACAATTTATGAGTTTGCATAAATTGTTTTTTTTGCTCGAGGAAACAGAAGGTAGAAGTTCCAACTGACCCAAGCCAAGAGCTCAAGTCTGGCCCTCCTCTTTCCTCCTTTGTCTCTTACAGCTCCATCCAGTATGTCCCAACCACCTCGTTTTACGTACCCATCAGTTTTCTTCTTACTCGGGCAGCCACTTGGCATCGCCATGCTGAGGCCTCCCAGGAACCTCACATCACACATACACCATGGAATGGAGAAGTACAAACCTGCTCCTATCAGATGTGCTTCCCTCTCAGAACTCAATTAGCTAAATCCGAAGCCAAGCAACAGTACAGGACTTGTCACCCTGTTTTCTCTTGCACTAACCTAATGACCAAGTCCTGTCTACTTCACGTCCAAACTCCCTCCCTCAAATCTACACGTTTCTCAACTATCTGTGACTGCTTGCAGACAGCCAAGGGTCTCCTACTTAACCTCGCTTCCTTAGAGTCGTAAGCTGTCAACAGCCCTCTTAGGTGCCAACTCCAGGATCGGGAAGCCCTACAGCTCACTGGGAAACATCACCTCTCTCTAGTCTAGCTGGGTTTCCATCCTCCTTTTTTGATAACCAAGTCATTTTCTCACTATGTTTTCCACTCTAATTTTTACCAAAAGTAGTATTACTGCCCCTTCAAAGTCCTCTTATCAGTGCTATTTGTGATGATATAAAGATCACCTTCACAACTTTGAACTTCATTAAGAGGTTCTATCCTGGTGACATTCCAGCAGGTCTTAGCTTCTATCCCAAAAATATTCATTATTCCCATGAATATGCGATACCAGAAGGCTAAGATCACCTACAAAACATAGAAACAAAAAGATAATGGAACAAAATACGTTCTCCTCACCGTAACAAATTTTTCCAAAACATCTGATTGCTGTTGACATCATAAACTTAACAAATGTATTTACTAAATATACTAAATATGTAATTTTAAAATTACGTCTTGGAACAGGTATCTGGCTTAGCAGTTCAGATGTTGTTTGGGACACCCATATTCCACACTCAAGTGCCTAGATTCAAAACCAGCACTGCTCCTGGCCCAGTTTCCTGTTAACTGGGCACCCAGGGAGGCTGCATACAATGGTGCAACTAGGTGCCCGCATGGGATATCCGATTCAGTTCCTGGCTTCAGTATGCCCAGCTGCAGTGGGGTGTGAACAAGAGTATCCTCTGCCTTCAACTAAAAATCAACAGAAAATGCTTCAAATATAATTATATGATACAGTGATGCTTCAGAAAGTTCATAGGAAAGGCAATCTTATTCTGGTAAAAAAACAAAACATGAAGTCTAAGCATATGACGGTCTTGTAAAAGTTCATTAAAATATATAGTATTATTACATGCATGTATAGTTTTCATATAATGCTTTTTCAGCAAAATAAACTTTTTGGGTCTCCCACGTGGGTGCAGGAACCCAAGCACCTAAGCCACCATCTGCTGGCTTCCAAAGCATTAGCAGGAAGAAGGAGCGAAAGTGGGAGAGTAGACAGGACTGAAGCAGGCGTTCTGATGTGGGCTGAGGGTATTCCAAGCAGCATCAGCTCCTTCACTTACCATCTAATTCCATTCTCCCACAAACCTTTGACATTCCTACACTTCAACATAAATACTTCCTGTACTTAAGTACACCTAATACAATAAGCACATGTACAGTACACATGTATTACATGCATTACACATTGCATATAATTCTAATGTAAATAGTAACTGCAAAATCTAATATACAATTATTAAAATGTAACAGAAAAATGATCAATTTACAGGAACATTTCACAACACTTCACTTAAGTCCCCTAACTTTTGGTGGCAAATAAAGCTTTTTAAAATTATTTATTTGAAAGGCAGAGTTAGAGAATATTCAAGATCTTTAATCCACTGGCTCCCTCCTGAGTGGGCCGCAGCAGTCAGCATGGGGCCAAGCCAAAGCCACGAGCTTCACCTTAATCTTCCCACATTGGGGCAGGGGCCCACCCAGGCTATTAGCGAGGAGCTGGATCAGAGTGGAGCAGCTGGAACATGAGCCACTGCCCACGTGGACCGCCGTCACAGGTGGTGGCTCTACCGGCCATGCCATGACACTGGTACCTGAATTTACTTCTTCATAAAATAAAATATATTCTTCAAAAATCTGGAATAAAATGTGCAATAGCTCCTGTGTCCATTAAAGTTTGAAACAGAAGATTTAATTTTAACAGTCTTCCAAACCTATAACCCATTTCTTAAAGTTCAAAGCCAAGAAGATAAATAGAAAAAATTACTATAAAAATTGCTTATGCCTGACAGAATTTTTATTTATTTACTTTTTTTTTAAATACAAATAACTAATGTGATGGAGGGCTCGCTGGAAGCAGTAGCATAGCTGGCTAACGCTCTGCCTAAAACGCCAGCATCTCATATGAATGCCAATTTATCTCCCAGTTGCTCCACTTGTGATCCAGCTCCCTGCTTGTAGCCTGGGAAAGCTGTAGAGGATGGCACAGGGCCTTGGAACCCTGCACCCGTGTGGGAGACCCAGAAGAGGCTTCTGGCTCCTGGCTCCTGCCTGGCCCAGTCCCAGCCATGTGAGTGAACCAGTGACAGAGACTTCTGTCTTCCCTTCTGTCCCTGCAGCTCTACCTTCCCAACAACAAAATCTTAAAAAAAAAAAAAAATTATACAAAAATGTGAAATAATTGAGGAAAATTGCGAGAATTGGAAAAAAATACCTAAACAGAACCACTTTTAATATATTTTTTTAAAGATTTATTTTTATTATTTTTTCATTGGAAAGGCGGATATACAGAGAGGAGAGACAGAGAGGAAGATCTTCCGTCCGATGATTCACTCCCAAGTGAGCGCAACGGCCGATACTATGCCGATCCGAAGCCAGGAGCCGATGTTCATCATCCTCCCAGTGACCTCCCGAGGCCCATAAAACATGGAGAATTAGTCAGTATTATGTCATGAGTTTGTATTATAGATGGTAATGTATGTATTAATAAATATGTAATAATCTTTTCATGTAAATAAAAGTATAGACTTATTATAATTTCTTTATTCTATAAAATTGACTCTCTGCTAAGATCTGTAATGGCTCTTCTTGAGAGTTTTCCATGTAGGCAAAGATCCACCACATCAAACAGATACGTGCCATCAGGAACCAACTCAGGGCTGGGATGCAGCTTGACAGAGCAGGTAAAGCACAGCTCTGAAGCCGGCACTGAACTCGAGCCCTGACTCTGCACGCAGTGGTCACTGTGGACTCCAGCAGTCCTGAGCTTCTGCAGCCAGGCCACCTAGCTCCCGGGGAGCCTGCGTAGAGCTCCCTTTGAAGAGAGGTGAGTTAGCACGCTGTGGAAAGTACTCGCCACATACAAGAAACACCATTCCAAAATACTGTTCAACATTTACCTCTTTTAGTTAATCTCCTTGTATGAGTATACAATTCAACACTGAAGTACTATCTAGGATTCACAATAAATCTACATCTTCTCAATGTTGCTTCTATTCTTTGAGAGAATAGACTGAAAAAAAAAAAAACAAGAAAACTCATTGCCTGCACTATCAACTGAGCCACATTACTCTAACTGCTTTTTCATAATATCAAAGATGCTGAAAAAAATATGCTAAATGTCTCAAAGAAATAATACAGGTTCAAAGGTCTCCAAGACTATACTAGAAACAAATCGACAAAACCTCAGCACTTACTACACAACTGAAAGATCCAACATTACCACCCCTCCCCAAACAAAAGCCCCAAACCACTGGAAAAGAGGGGCAGTGTAAGGTGACTCCTCATAGTTAGAGTAAGTCAGCAGTAAGTGCAGTCACAGATACAGAAATGGGGGGTTTGCCTCTGGGTTTTACATTTCAGTTAGAGAGTCACCACGGGCACCAGGCTAACCAGAACAGCAGAGCCCCTCTGCGCTCTAAGGCAACACACGCAAAGTGATGCAGAAATCGCTTCCTCCTTGGCAGGTCTGTACTAGACAGCTGTTACTACTATAAATCACAGCCAAAAAGTGCAGACATTGGCAGCAAAACCAAATCTTGGGAACCTCCCAGCAGCTGGAAATCAAACACAGTCCTGAACAGCCAATGGGTCAAGCAAGTCTTATAAGGAAATGGAAAAAATAACTTGATGAATGAGAAGGAAAACACACTTCATTAAAACAAATGCCTGCTTTTAGAAGATGGTGGTGTTGTAACTTTCTATTTTTCTTCCTGTTGATTTTGCTTTGTGGCTTTTCATTTAAGTGGATGTACAGTAACTATATAATAGACACTATCCTATCCAGGTGTGAGGATACAGTGCAGTATGCATCTCTACTTCCAGATGAAACTGTTAGACATATCTTGACAAAAGGATACTGTAGTCTCTGCCACTATCCATGCCCACAATGTCAGGGTACATTTAAATAGCAGAATGATGGATGCATGACTGTTTATGCAGAAGTGTACTATTGAAATAATACAGGGGAAATTGGACAGGAGAGGGTTAGGGAGCAGGGGAAATCGTAGAGCTTACGGAACTGTATCACAAAATTTTTAAAAATGGAAAAAGTCGCAAAGAAAAATGGATATCTCAATTCCCTATCTGAAGCTAATGGTTCACTGATACAAAACCAAAAAAGAAACTATAGATTAATATTTCTTGTGACTATAAATTATGAAGAAACCTAACAAAATAATTAGCAATATATAAAAAGAATTTGACATGATAAATGGAGCTGTATTTTGAGGACACAGGTTACTTTAAAATTCAAATACTAATCAATGCAATCCATGAAAGACCACAGGATCACACCAACTGGTATAGGAAATGTATTTAAAAATTTAATAACCATGTGGGCTTGGTGCAGTATCTCAACTGTTAATCCTCCAAATCCAAGTTCCTGGATCCCATATGGGTGCCAGTTTGTGTCCAGCTACTCTGCTTCCAATCCAGGTCCCTGCTTGTGGGCTGGCAAGGCAGAGGACGGCAGCCCAAAGCCTTGCGACCCTGTACCCACGTGGGAGACCTGGAAGAAGCTCCTGGCTCCTGGCTTCGGATTGGCTCAGCTCCAGCCACTGCGGCCACTTGTGGAGTGAACCAGCACACAGATCTTTCTGTCTCTCCTCTCTGTAACTCTGCCTTTCCAATAAAAATAAATAAACTTATTTTTAAAATGTTTTAAAAACAAAAAGGCCCTTCTTTAACAGATGAAGACAAGCTAAAGACTGGGAATGTATATTTGCAAAGCACTAATTTGACAAAACCAGCATCTAGAAGATAACAAGAACAAACAATTCACACAGAATATGAACAAAAGACATGAAGACAGAGTTCATTATACACAGACTGCAAGCAAGTGTAACAGATGCTCAACATCAGTAATCATTAGGGAAATCAAACTCAAACCTCAGTGAGATGTTTGTATGTAGGTACCCATGCTTAGAGCGCAAAGTATGTTTAGGAAAATGTATAATGACATATTTCATTCAGTATGAGAACATTTATGTGTAATTAGAAAAACACCAACCTTCACATGGCTATGACTAAATGACTATTTACATCAAACTCATTAACAATGGTTACACGAAGGGGAAAGGAGACCCTGCTGGAAAGCGAAACCCTGTGAGCACATGTGCTGGAGTTCTATGGAAAGAACGTCTGACACTCTTAGCAAGTATAAGGACACATGCAATCAGAAAAGCTGAGAGACTCCCTTCCGCGACATAGCTAGGCTTCGTTAAAGTGACAAAAAGGATCACTGTGCAAGCAGCACTTGCCTCTCACTTCACTCACCTCGGGGTAAAGATGGAAGCGCTTCACCGTGTTGATTACAAGGGGGTATTCAGTGAGCCTGTCATTCATGATCATCCACAGCCCTTCCAAAAAGGAAGGGGCCTCAATAATGGTCTTGAAGTAGGAATAATAAAGACCCTTTTAAAAAAGGCACAAGTTATTGTCAATGTAAGTACAAATTTAAGCGTTTCTTTTTTACAACTCCTTTTAGAACATTTTTTCTAAAAGAAAAAAAATCAGTAATAAGACTTTCTAATTAGTCCTTGCTATTGCATTCTTTGACAATCAAAACAGGGTGTATTTTTGGGTTATTGCCATGGTATTCATTCAACTTTCCTGTAAGTTTAAACGTTTTCAAACTAGAGTCAAAGGGATGACCAAATGCTTTAAAGAGCTTTTTAAAATGGCCTTAACATATATTCAACCTATTTTAATTTTTACTTATCATTAGCAAGGAGGGCTTCCCATCTGCACACAACTTTGTAAGCAGAAAACTGCTTCTGTTTCCCATGCTCTTGGGGAACAGCATACAATGGGCCTGGGTCTCACGAGGGGCACTCCAGTCGTCTAGCCTACTGCAGTGCTCAACCCAGCGGCTCCACAGAGTGTAAGTGGAGGGCAAGCAGCTTCTGCGGCCCAGGAAGGCGGTGTCCAGCAAAGGGATAAACCGCCAGGCCCCGTCCAGTATATAAATGATCCACTTTATTAGCCTAGGTGGGGAACTAAAATTCAAAGAAACTTAAGAATCATGTCACTTTCCTCATCAATTTTCTGCCTTCCCTTAAAAATCTTAGAGCAAATAAGGAATCACACTGTTTATAACACTCTTCTAAAATAAAAAATTAATAATTTTCAACTCTACAGTCATTCCTGCCTTATTTTTTGATCAGGTAACATCAGTAGCTACTAAACTGAAAAGTTTAGCTGATTTGGAAAAGTCACTTTCCTCATGGTTCTGATTGGTAAAATGAGTTCACAAGAGGACTTTCTGCTTGGGATGACATTACAATTCAACGATGAAAGGATATCTAATATGTCAAAAGTCTATAAGGAAATATTAAATCCGCAAGCAAGTTTTTATTAATATCAGTTCTTTTTTGTCCCAAGCTTCATGCTGTGTACTCCAAATCACTACCTCACTTCATTGTCACAAAAATCCCATGAGGTTGGTATTATCTCTGTTAACAAATGAGGACTCGCTAGTCCTCAGTCATCCGTCACCAAACCTACCCACTGCCAGTGCTGCGCTCGGCATTTAAACACAGTTTAGAGCCCTCTGGGGGAAGTAATACCTTTGAAATATTCAAATACCACTCTTCAAAGTTTTAAAGAACAGCAGAGAAGAAAATCAGAAAGGAGAAGCAGGTGAAGTGTCCCGGAACAGGCAAACCAGAAATAGAAAGCGGAAACAGCGCCATCAAGCAAGTTTACTTTAGCTCCGAATAAATTTCTGCCTTATAGCCTTACTATTCTTAGACCACAAATAAACTCATTAGAAGAAAGAACCTAACCATTTCAGTGCGAAAAGTCATCTCTCGTTCCAAAGATGAGAGGTGAGAAAAATGACGGTCATTTTCAAAAAGTGTTACTAAATGTATCCTAGGAAAAAAAAAAGAAAGAAAATATTATAAGTATGGTTTCAAAAGCAGTACTAAAATAGCCAAGCTACTGATAAGTAAGGAAACCTTAAAAAGGAAAGACCTACTAAACATTGAGGTAATTTTAAAATCTGCTCAGTAGCCTTTGTAAGTTTTCACGATCCAGCATAGCACAAATTTGAAATCCCCGAGTTCACTGGTTCTTACCTTAACTGTACATCTAAATCTTGATCTCTCCACCATTCCCCTTCTTCCTACCCTTGGCCTTGACATCAGAACAAAGTCTGTTTGCTTTACAGCTTTCACAAGGGATTCTAAATCTATGTGGCAAACAACTCAGTGACAATTGACGAGCCTTCAGAACATAATTGTAAATAAGGTTACTTTAGACTTCGGCAGCTTTTCAACAGCTGCAGCATCTCAGAGGGAACGGATTCTCGCTCTTGACAGTCACAGGGGCGCTGTCCCAACGGGACACGGGGTGGATCACACTGCTCCCCAGGCTGAGAAGTCCCTCAACCAGAGTAGGGATCAAACACCCCAGAGGGAAAATACTAACATTTTACACGATTCCGACAGACAACTTGTTTAAAGGCAGGTGCCTGTGCCCACCCACTGCAAGGCTCATTGAAACCTCCTCTCTGAACTCATGCCATAACACCCAGTAATTACCATATATGGAGCATTTTAGATAAAATGAACAGACAAAATACCAGAAAAATCTAGATATATAAGGAAACATAGTGGTGAATTCTTTGGTATAGCAAAAAATAGTTTAACATGCAAATCACTCTTCTCCTCACACACCTGTTCAGCCAAAGCTGCCTCACGTATGAGAGCTATAAGAGTAATGGACACGCACAACCAGGGCATGCTGGGACTCCATACACACCGCCCCAAGTTTTACAACAGGAACCAGGGAGGGTAACTTTCAGTCCAAATGTCTATTTCAAAGTGAAAGAAAATCTTACCAGTGTAAAAGTCCCACAAAGGCAGCTGGAAAAAAATTAAAGAAAGTCATTAAAAGCTGCGTTACCACAAAATATCTTCAAGACACTTATTTCGAACTCGGCTGTACTCAAAGCAGGTGGCCAGCTGTTTGTCCATCGTCAGCCCGGCCAAGAGCAGCGGGGCAACCTGCGGGGCATCCTGCGAGCTGTGCCTGGCGCTCATGCAGGGGTCACTCGGGGATGTGCGAGGGAATGGCCACCGCAGGCACGACTGTGCTTTGTACTTTCCAGCATCCTCCTTCAATGTCTCCTTTTCTATTCCCTTACGCGATTGAAGTGAATCAGCAAGGTTCTTTCAGAAAAGACCACAGCCAACAGCAGCCACCCTAGACCGCCCTAGACAGCCGGCCCAGGACACACTCCACGAGGCTGTACTAGGCAGAGGACTGGGTACTGAGTGCTAAGTACTGGGCGTGCGAGGAACTGCAGGTTGCTCACTTCCACGGGTAACAGGGAGATGGGGAAGAACAACCTCTAACTCCACAAATTCCGCTGCCTTTCTTGACTTCATGCTCTCTAGATGGTCCTTTGTTTAATTTCCAAAGTTAACCCATTTTCATTTCTTACATATTTATACTATTTTCTTGGAGGAATTAATTTACCGGGCTATTCCAGAAGTCTTGTTGACTCTCTGGGGTTTTATAATGATATGCATCACTGCCCAGAATACACTTGGCAAGTTACCTTGGCATTAACTCCCTGAAAAATTAAAGGTATCTTACTTATCAAACTAAATCAAATAAATTCAATAAAAAAATCTAAAAATTTCAATCCTGTCTCTCTCGCCCTTTTCCCATATTACTAACCACCTTCCTATGGACCAGGTGGGTAAGTTTGGGCCTACTTTGTGTTTCTGTATTATCAGTTAGGCAAAAGTAGTTCATAACTTTATCTTTTTTTCTTTTCTTTCTACAAACTTATAAAGATGAAGATGCAACGGGCATGGCACATGGCCTCAGCATCCTGGCATCTTCCCTCCAGGGGCCTATCTCCACCCACCGCTCTAACATCCCACGTGAGCACTGGTTTAACTTCCGGCTGCTCCCTGCCAACGTGCATGGGAGGCAGCAGAGGACAGCCCAAGTTCTTGGACCCTGTAGCCACATGGAAGACCCGAAAGAAGCTCCTGGTTTCAGATTTGCTCAGCTTTGGCTGTAGCGGTCATTTGGGGAGTAGACCAGTGGCTGCAAGCTTTGTCTCTCCTCTTTCTCTGTCTTTCAAATAAAAATAATTTTTTAAAAAGTTACTCCCTGACTCTTTATAGAAAAATTATATATATTCATATACAAATTCTTCCTGTTTGATCTACTCTGAACCACACTGATTAAACTTTATACCTTCATTTTCAACGTGAAGCAAAGGCCCTTTGACAAAGCATTAGTAATGTTAGGACATGCAGAGGCTATCCCCCTGGCAGAAACAGATAGGACTTAAAGAAAGACTGACTACGCTATCAAGTATACCTCCTTTCCAACAATACCCCCAGACCCCCTGGAGGAAGTGGTGCAGCACCACAGGGCCAACACTCCGAGTGCATGAGGACCTACCTCAGCCCCTCCAAGCTGTGATGGACAGCAGGACCCCTGGACTCCCGCCTGTCCCCTCCTCACCTTGAAGGTGACCTAGCCTCACACCTTACTAAAACGAAGACCACTGGATACCAGCACTCCCAACTGCACATCAGCACTTCACGGTCCTAAGTTTTAAACCTCACCTTTTCTACTCTCCACCACCTCTAGAGAAAACTACCCCCTGCTCCCATAGTCAGCAGCTCCAATGTGTGTCTTTGTCTCTACTCCTCTCGAAACACCCACACGTGCTCTCCACCAATCCCTGCGGCTCCTGGAGCCTGCTCTTCCAAGCTCTCTCACCAATTCTTTCCTTGAGCTTTTCCTTTTTCGAGATTAAAACATTTGCTGTGGCCCAAACCCTCAGTGACAAGATTTCCAACAACCGCTAGTTTCCTAGGACTCTTTGAAGTGGACTATGATATTTAAATTATGACCATCAATGATTTTCTTCATTGTTATACTTTAATAGTTTTAATCCATTAGTTCCAATTTTTCGATTTTTGGTTCCCTCTCATTTTCCATCACAGCAATCCTTCTAGTTAATTCCCTCAGCCCATTTTCCTTTTCTTCTCATTAACTCAGTTGAAAACTTTTCCCCACATATCTTTATATTGTGCACTTTTCTCTCCTTACCTTGGGCTCCCTGGCAGTGTAACTCAAGTTTAAAGAGTTCCAGTTGTCACCTCTACTGAGGAATTTCCTAGTCTGTACTCCTCCTTCCTGAACTTTCTGCCTAACCCCTCGCCCACTGTCTCCACCTGTCCACCCTCTTTCTCTGCCACTCAGCTCACCTTGGTCCTCCCGACTCCTGCTTTTGCTACCCTTACTGAAGCCATCACTGCCTGCACCTTACAGACAAGTTCCCAATTAGTCCTTCTGCACCCTCCGCAATCCACCCCCCGTTCATCATGCACACTGCTGAATTAATCTCTTAGCAGCGCACTGTTGAGTCACTAGAGGACACGGATGCGCTCACCTAAACTGACAACTATCTCTCCTGGCACACAGAAACAGTGACACCCACATAGACACACTGGCTGTTTCTCTCCCAAAGGACCGCAACAGCAGAGGTGGGCCACAGCTAGACGCCAGCAGCTCAATTCAGGTCTCCCATGTGAGTGGCAGAAACGCTATTCCTCGGGACAACGCTGCCTGGCTCCCATTGCGCAACTTGACCACATTCAAAAATGTGCAGGAAGCAGTCGGTGCCTTCCTGCGGGACGAAGCTGGATGCCTTACACCTGGTCTTGGCCAACTCTTCACCTTAGCTCTTACTCCTTTTGGTTCCCTTCCTTCCAGGCTGACCTTGCTTTCAGGTTTTCTTACTCCCAGGTGATTCCAGCAGCCTAACAGCTGTTACTAAACAGTAACTTTTGGTCACAACCTGAATAGCACCTTCTGAGTATCAGGTTCTACTGACCCAGGCCTAGGCCGCCTGAAATAGTTTATTGAGACACCACCAACTTTGGTGTCCCCGGTAAGGCTACAGAAAATGAGGGGAGAAAAAATGGAAAAGGAAACAAAACTTAAGGAACAAAATTTCCAAATTTTAGGCACTGTTAACTCCACAGCGACATCTGAAATTAAGTGGGTACCAGAGGGCAATAGCACAGGAGTACGTCAAGAAATTCCTGGGGAAATGGCATTCAATGGTATCTTTTTGGTGCAAAATAGTTTTGACAGCCATCTATAATTTTAACACACTTTCTTGGAACTTTTGGAAACTCCTCTATGCATGCCTTTCAAAAAAAATTTTTTTTTACACCCAAACTAAATGCATCTCTTAGTTTCGCTGTCCAAGGACTTCCTGACCATCCTCCATACACTTTCTATTAATCTTTCGATGTTAATAGGTGTTCATTTCTATTTTAGATAGGTGTTACTCATTTCCATTGACGCCTATTTTGTTTTTATTTAAAGTACCGAGAATCATTATGTTTGGCCCCCAAAGATTTCGCCAATCACTATTACCAACTCATCATTGGCTGCCGTGGTTCTGAAACAAACAAACAAAAAAACACCACTCCATGACATGGCGGGGGGGGGGGGTCACCACTTGGTCCCCAAACCTTGCAAAGGAAGAACCCGGGGGGGCTGGGACTTGTAGTGATCCTCCAGGGCAGCGGCTCCCGCCGCCCGCTCCCCGTGCCCGCTCCGCTCACCTATGCTGAGGGTGGTCTTGTTCGAGAACCGACGCGTCTGTAATACCAGCACCTTTTCTCGGAGTAGCTCCAGGAAGCACTGCAGGAACTGGAAGCGGCCGAGGAGAAGGGACCTGGCGACCGCCTCCAGCTGCAGGCAGTTGGGCGGCTTCAGGTTTCGAGTCCTCCGCGGCGAGTACTCCCGGGAGCCCCCGGGCAGGTTCCCGCCGCCTACGGGCGGAGGCTGCGGAGGCTGAGGAGGCTGAGGAGGCGGCTCGGGCTCTTCCACCGCCTTCTTCGTCCCCTCCTCCATCTCGGGCTCCCCGGCTCCCGTGGCCCGGCGCCGCCGCTTGGACTGCACCGGCCGGGATTGAGACGGCTCTGCAGCCGCTTCCCTGAGCTTATTCCTCGTTTGCCTGACCATTTTCTCATAGTCCCTGTGCGGGGGGTGGGGAGCTGGGTCACTATCTGGCGCGGGCCCAGCGACGCCCCGGAGAGGGCCGGGGGGCCTGGCTCGCCCCGCAGCCTCAACGACTCGTCTCCGCCGCCGTTGCCGGCCGCCCGGTTGCCAAGGTCACGGCGAGAGGCAGCGCGGGAGGGGGCGTGCGCGCGTGCGCCTTACCTCCGGCACTCGCGCTCCACGTGCGTCCTCGCCTGCGCGGGCTCGGGGCGCTGCAGCACGTGCGCCACTCGGAGTGCACGGCCACGGCTGCGGCACCTGCGCCTTGGGGCGCGCATCGGTGCCGCACCTGCGCCTTGGGGCGCGCATCGGTGCCGCACCTGCGCCTTGGGGGTGCGCGTCGCTTCAGCTGTAGCGTGCAGTAGGGTGGGGGCGATTGCCCGCCCCAGCTACAACCTGTGGCCCTATCACGTTCTTGCAACATCCCCTACTCAAGGATGCTCGGAGCTTCCACAAGTCAGAGCCAATTAAATGTTAACCTCTCTCACTTGTTAAAGACTTTCGTAAAATTGCCCCAACGCCGCTCAGGTGCGGTCCACAACGTGCCATTCGTCAGCGCCCCTTTGCTCACAGTTCTCATATATACTGCGCTGTTTCGGCTCGTCACATACTTGTCATAAGTTTTCTTCAAGGATCACGTCGACATTCGCCACTCTACTTTGGTTCTTACACCATTTTATAATTTACTTAATATTTGCCAATTAGAAAATCAAGGATCGAGGAGGTGGGAATTTGTCCAAATTTTAACAGATAATAAATTCTATCCAATGCTGAGGGTAAAATAACATACCTTGGAGTGATTGATTCAAACATATTAATGCATGGACATGGAAATCCAAAATAAAATGCATTTTAATGAGTATTTTAATGTGGGAGCAATACATGGAATGCAGTCATTATGATTCCCATGCTGGTTTGTTTTATTCTGAAGTTTCTACTTGGCCTTTGTACAGCCTGTGTTGTGGAGGATAAAATGCACTCTTACCTTACTTAGGGTAAAAATCTGATGTTTTTTCTTTTTAACATAGCATTTAAAGACTAGTCTTACAAGATTGTTTATTGCACTATTATTTATAGCTGGAAGAATATGAAACATCTTTTTACGAAACATGAAATTGCAGATTCTTCGTGCAGTGATGCGTTACAGCTGCTAAAGTCATTTTGAGTGACTATTTAATGATATAGGAGCATGATCTTGATGTTAAAGGGAGAAAAGGAGGGAGGGATTTGTCTGCTGGTTCACCCTCCAGATGGCCACCACAGCCGAGGCTGAACCAGGTCATCATCCAGGTCCCCCAGGTGGGTGCAGCAGCCCAGGCACCCGCACCGCCTTCCACTGCTTCCCCAGGCCATAAGCAGGGAGCTGGGTTAGAAGTGCCAGGACTCCAACTGGCACTGGGGATGCTGGTACTGCTAGTGGCATATGGCTGGCATAGTGCCGGCCACTCTCATGGATTCTTTGGTATCAAGTAATGTGTAAGCTTGATTATTGAGCAGTAACTGAGACAGTTGTCTAAGTCATCAATCATACATTCTATTAAGGAGAGGAGATCGGTGTGTGAGAGGGATATTGTGACGCTGGTTTATTCATAGCTGAATAACATCATGAATATTATCTGTAATAACATCTCTGGCTCCAGTTACTTATTTTTGACCGTATCATGTTAAACTACCTTTCAGCTGCCTGTCGATTGAGAACACTTAAGTTAGTATTCCCTGACACTCTAGATATAAACAACATAGTCTCCCATTCTCTTTGAAGTGAAGATGCGCAATTACTCAACAAAATATTTTTCTTACATACAAACGTTTAATCCAGTCATATATATTTAAAATCTGACCATTTCCCTTTATCTTTTAAGCAAACTTCAGCTGGTTAATTTTTAAATTAAAAAAATGCAATTGAACTACATAACCAGCAGATGGCAATGATGATCTATATGCTAGAATCTGTTTTAGTTTTAAAATTTGTTTTTAAACAAAAAAAATTCACTGTTCCTGTAATAAAAATGCCTACTAAATATTATATGTAGGAAAATTCTAAATGCAGCACCACATTAAAATAAGTGCATATTTCTTATGCAGAATACTAAGATATTCATCCTGATCAACATTTAATTTTCCAAAAAATAGTAACGATGCTTTGATTCATACAATTTACTATCAGATTTAAACATCAATACGTAATACACACAGATTAAATATATACGTGCATGCCACATACTTATACATGTACATGGCTTCACATAAACCACATCCTCGAAGTCTGCTTCTTCTCGAACCTAGTTATTAGTCCCCTGTACAAATAGCAGCATATTGAGATTCCTTTTATTTACCACTAGGAGTCTCTCTCTTCAATATCAGAAAGTGAAGGCTTCTAATACTCTCAAGAATAGATTTTAGGACACTTAGGGGCGAGTTGTGTAAAACATGACACAGACAGCAATGATAGATGAGGAATCTCTTGGCTGTGTTTGACAGTCTTCTAGATCTACTTGAGACTGAATTGTGGTCATGACATCTTGGCTCAGAAAGTGTCAGTCTGCTCTGGGCAACCTCATTTCCTAAACTACGAAATCAACACTCAGCACTGGCCTTGTCAAGGTCTTGTAAACTGGATTCTAGCTGCTGACTGTGCCTGGAAGGACGGACGTGTTCGCTTACCCTGCAGCACTAAGTTCTCTCCCTCCTGGTGCTGCCCGTCGCTCCTCTGCCTCAGACCATACACTGTCACCCTGCAGTCTCACTCAGCCATCTGCCCCACGCTTTGTCCTCAAGTCTGTCCCCCACATTCCTCACTGCCAACCCAGATAAGCTGAGCTCCTCTCTCCCTCAGTCTCTTCCTTCTCTCTGCAACTCAGCCCCAGTTGGTCTCCACTGACCCACCACTTGCCATGCTGTCTCTTAGTGGGTTTTACTGCTGCCACGTCCTACTCATCTGTGTCCACCTCCAGCCCAAATGTCAGCCATGGTGTCAGGAAGGGGGAGGACAGCCCGAGATCAGTAATAAATGTCTCCACTAAGACGACCGCACAGCCCTGCAACCATGTAGATATCAAACTCAACTTTACTTATACTGAAAAGATAAATATGGAGCTCTAAAACACCTTCCTCACCTTTGCTACCAGTGAACTCTTTCTTACATACTTAACAGCACCAATTTTTAATCCACTAGAAGAATGCCTGCTGAGTTATGGGGTTCTTTTATCCACAAGGTTGTGTAAGTTCTGAAAAGGCAGGGTAGATGTTAGTTTTCAAGAAGGCTCAAAACTCAGAAATGTTTGTTTGAAGAGCTAGAACAGTGTCCTAGCTGCAAGTGCAAAGCGAGGATTTGAATCTGGGTCTATCCTTTGTCCTACAGGTGCCTGTGCACACGTATTCAGCCTCAATTTTCTCATCCATCGAGTGGGAATAATCACAGCTCCTACTTCATAGAGTTCCTGGAAAAATTAGGACCAAGCATATATAGCACACAGACACAGAAAGTGTGTTATAAAAGCAATGACCATTTTAAGGTTTTAAACATTTAAATTTTTTCAAAGGAGTTATTTTTAGCCTTCAGCTATGATTCTTGCTGGAGAGAAACGCAAAAACGGACTAAAAATACATGGAAACGAAGTGAGGACTTGTGACCCATTCGGTGTTAGAAAAAAAAACAGTGTGAGCTACTTTGCACAGATGGAGTAAGCGAGGCAGGGAAAGCCCTCTGGACAGCCCACCCTTTAACCCTTACAAGACCCACCCTGCTTGTAACCTTCAAGGCTGACAAACTGGGCCCTCCCTTGATAATGGAAACAAAATTTTGCTGGGTAGTTTGGGATGTTGTTTGTCATGTTTCAAATAATAATTTTAGTGAAATATAAATGCATACCATACATTGTATTATTTTGTCTTTAGATATATTTACTTAAAAGGCAGAGACAGAGATGCAAATAACAATGCATAATCCTTTGTGATGGCTTCCTTCTCATATGTTTCCAAATCTCATCCAGATTGCAACATTTCGAGTGCTTCAGACTCTTAGGGTGAATAGCACTTCATTGCACAGATATGCCATTTGTTTATCCCTCCACCCATGAATACTTCAATTTTCCCCACTTTTTTTTTGCCTCTTTTGAACAATGCTGCTATAAGCACTCATGAACAAGTTTTTCTGTGGATATACATTTTTATTGCTCCTAGGTATGCACCTAGGAGCAGAACTGCTAGATTGTAACGTGGCTCTATATTTATCCTTTTGATGTACGGCCAAGCTGTTTTCCAAAATGGTCATGTTATCTTATATTCTCACCACCAATGCACAAGAGTTCCAATGTGTCCACATCCTTGCCAACACTTATTGTCCTTGTCCATCATCATGCTTATAGTCACCCTGGTGGATTGTGAAAACATATCTTCTAGTTGTTCACTTGCTTGGTCTATTTCTAGAGTTCTTTGAGGATTGCAGAAAAATCAAGCATAAAGAGCAGAATTCTCACGTAACCCATCTCTCCCATCTGGTACATGGTTTCTTTTATCACTAACATCTAGTATGACTGGAGCGTATGTGTTTCAATGGCTGAACCAATACGGATGCAGTGTTATCAATCCATGGTTTATGCAAGGGTCACTCTGAACTGTCCAGTTCTCCCAATTGTGAGAAATAGGCAAGCTATGGATTCATCATTAGAGCATCATTATGGAATTATTTCACTGCTCTAAAAATTCTCTGGGTGACTTCTAGTCACTTTCCCTTCTCTCCTTTCGAACTCTGCAAACTGCTGATTTTTGTTTTCTCTAATCGCGCACTTTCCAGAATGTCATCTAGCTAGACTCATACAACAGCCAGCCTTTCCAGCCTGGCTTCTCACATAGCAACATGCATTCACACTTCCTCCATGTCTTTTCTTTGCCTGGTACTACATTTAACTTCATCACCGAATATAATTCCAGTGCAATGATGGAGGATGGATGTGCCACAGTGTTCATCCAT